TCCATATGAATTTTAGAATCAGTCTGTCAGTTTCTACACAGAAACCAGCTAAGATTTTGTTAGGGGTTGCCTTGAATCTGTAGATCAATTTAGGGAGTACTGTCATCTTAACAATATTGTCTTTTGATCCCTGAACATGGGATGTCTTTCCATTTATTTAGATCTTTAATTTCTTTCAGTGTACTAGACATGTACTTTTGTAGTTTTGTGGTTTTCGGTGTACTAGTCATGTTGTACTAGTCATGTATTTCTTTTGTTAAATTTATTCCTAAGTATTATTCTCTTTGCTATTCTTTTTGCTGGATTGTTTCTTTAATTTTATTTTCAGGTGGTTCATTATTAGTATTGAGAAATATGATTGATGATGTATATTGATCTCGAATCCTGCTACATTGCTGAACTTATTTATTAGTTCAAATAGTTTTTTAGTGGTTTCCTTAGGATTTTTTATATTCAAGATCATGTCCTCTGAAAATAGAAATAGTTTTACTTCTTTCTTTTCAATCTGGTTGCCCATTATTTCTTTTTCTTGACTAATTGCTACAGCTAGAATCACTGGTACAATGTTGAATAGAAGTGGCAAGATATAATTATATCATCTCCTGATAGAGATAATTTTACCTCTTACTTTCCACTTATGCTCCAATTGCTTCCTCTTTATGGTTACATTAGAGCTCCTTTAATTCATTTTATTTAGATATGATAATATAAATGCTCTTTTCCAAAGTGGTCATACCATTTTGCATTCCCAGCAGCAATGTATGAGAGTTCCAGTTTTTCCACATCATTCTTAAAACTTGGTATTGTCAATGTTTTTTAATTTGAGCACTTCTAGTGTGTGTGTAGTGATATCTCATTGTGGTTTTAATTTGTATTTCCCTGATGACTAATGACATTAAACATCTTTTGATGTGCTTTGCTTTCCTTTTTTCCCTGATGTGCTTTATTGCCATTTGTATATATTGTTTGGTCTTTACATATTCCAGGATGTAAGCCCTTTGTCTGATATATGTGTTGCTGGTTTGCCTTTTCATTTTCTTAATGGTATCTTTTGAAGATCAAAAATTTAAGCTTTTGTGAATTCTAATTTATCAATTATCTCTTTTATAGTTCATGGGTTTTGTGTCTTATTGTAACTCAATGTTACAAAAATTTTCTCTTATGATCTGTTTTAGAAGTTTAATAGTTTTAGCTCTTACATTTACATCTATGATCCATTATGAGTTAGTTTTTTAGTATGATGTGCGATAAGGATTGATGTTCATTTTTTTTCACACGAGTATCTGGTTGATCTAACACCATTTGTCAGAAAAACTTTTCTTTTCCCATTGAATTGCCTTGACATCTTTGATGATAATCAATTGACCATACATTTGTGGGCCTATTTCTATACTCTCCATTCTGTTCCACTGATCTTTTTGCTAATAATGAACAGTCTTTCTACTGTAGCTTTATAGTAAGTCTTGAAATGGGTTGGATAAGTCCTTCAACTTTGTTGTTTGTTTTAAAAAATTGTTTTTGCTATTCTAAGTCCTTTGCATTTCAAAATAAATTTTACCATAAGCTTGTCAATTTCTCCAAAAAGTCTTCTGGAACTTTAACTGGGATTGTGTTGAATCTATAGTTCAATCTGGGGAGAATTGACTTCTTAAGAAATTGCTAGGGGCCAGCCTGGTGGCGCAGTGGTTAAGCGCTCGCGCCTCGCTTCGGCGGCCGGCCCAGGGTTTGCAGGTTTGGATCCTGGGTGCACACCAACACACTGCTTGTCAAGCCATGCTGTGGTGGTGTCCCATATGTAAAGTGGAGGAAGATGGGCATGGATGTTAGCCCAGGGCGTCTTCCTCAGCAAAAGAGGAGGATTGCCATCGGATGTTAGCTCAGGGCTGATCTTCCTCACAGGAAAAAGAAAAAAAAAGAAATTGGTATTTGTCAGTTATACTTCAATAAAGCTGGGGGGAAAATTGAGTCTTCCGATTTCTGAACATGCATACTATTCAATAATGTTTTGTAGTTTTCAGTAGAGATTTCCCTTTAGGAAGATATCATTTCACTTTAGCTTGAAGTATTTCCTTTAGCATTTCTTCTAGAGTATATCTGTTGGCAACAAATTCTTAGTTTCCTTGTATGAAAATGTTCTTATATTTGCTGATTATAGAACTCTGGATCAGCTGTTCTTTTATTTCAGCACTGTAAAGATAGGTTCTACCACTGTCTCTGGCCTAAGTGGTTTCTGAAGAGAAATCTATTGTTATTGGAACTGTTTTTCCTGTGTGTAATGTGTAGTTTTTCTCTCACCATTTTCAAGAATTTTTTCCTTATCCTTTAGTTTTCAGCTCTTTGGTTATGATGTGTCTAAGTGTGTTTTTCCTTTAGTTTAACCCATTTGTGGTTCACTGAGCTTCTTGAAAATGTAAATTTATTGTGTCTTCTACTAAATTTGTGAAAATGTTGACCATTATTTCTTCAAATATCTTTTCGGCCCCTATCTTTTTCTTCTGTCCTTCTGGGTCTCCAATTACATATATGTTAAATCTTTTTATATTGTCCCACAGTTCCCTGAGACACTGTTCATTTTTTTTCAATATTTTTTTCTATTTTCATATTAGCTAATTGCTATTGAACTATTTGCAAGTTCACTCATTCTTTCCTCTGTCATCTATATTCTATGGAGCCTGTCCAGTGAGCACTTTTGTTTTTGATGATAAATTTTCTATTTAGTTCTTTTATAGTTTTTATTTCCCTGTTGAGAATTCCTATCTTTTCATTCATTTCAAGTTTGTTTTCCTTTACCTCATAAAGCATAGATAAAATAGCTGCTTTAAACTTTTAAGACTCTGTGATAGTTTCAGCATTTCTCTTATGATTGGTCACATTTTCCTGATTAGTTGTATTTTGAGTAATTTTAAATTCTATACTAGACGTTGTGATTTTTATGTTACTTAGAAACTTGCGTGGGTGTTTCAAATCTCAGTTCGTTTTTCCAAGCCTTTGCCACATTGGTTTGAATCTGTCCTGTGTATGCACCCCGCCAGGGTTAGTCATTGTGAGACTTGTGCGTGTGGTTCAAATTTCAGTTAAATTCCCCAAACTTTTGCTTTGCTGGTTTGAAGGTCTGTTCTGTGCATGCATAGTTCAGGGCTTAGACTGATGCTTATACAAGTTTATACACGGAATTCAGGATTCCGTGCTCTGGCTCTCCAGGAGTCTTCCTGCACACTCTCTTTATCATTGGTTTTCAGCAGTTTGATGTTGATGTAACTTATGGTGGTTTTCTTCCTGTTTTTTCTGCTTGGGATTCATTGAGCTTCTAGGTTTTATGGGGTATTAGTTTTCATCCAATAGGGAAATTTTGGTCATTATTTTTTTCAAATAGTTTTTCTATCCCCCTGCCCTCTCCTCTTCAGGGACTTCACTTACACGTAGATTGGAAAACTTAATATGCTCTGTGTATATCTGTGTCAGTCTTCTTTCTCTCTTTGTTTAACTTTGTAGTTTTATTGCTATATCTTTATGTCCACTGATCTTTTCTTCTGCAATGTTAAACATGCTGTTAATCTGATCCAGTATATTTTTCATTTCAGATATTGTAATTTTTTGTCTCTGTAAGTCCAATTTGGGTCTTTTTTTAATATCTTCCATTTATCTCCTCATCATGTTCGTGTTTTTTTCTCTTCCTTCTTGAACACATGGCATCTGTTAATTCTATCATCTGTGTCATTGCTGGGTCATTTCTACTGATTGATTTTTCTCCTCGTTGTTGTTCGTATTTTCTTTCCTGCTTATTTGCATGCCTGTTAAATTTTGTTTGGGTGCTGGACATTTTGAATTTTATTTTTAGATGTTAGATTTTATTGTATTTTAAAAATATTATTCTTTTTCTGTGACATATTTAAGTTACCTGGAATCCATTTGATCCTTTTAAGGCTTTCTTTATAGGCTTTGATAGATCAGGTTTAGAGCAGCCTTTAATCTGGGGCTAATTTGGCCCCATTACTAAGGCAATATTTGATGCCCTGTGAATTCGGAGGTCTTCCCACTGCGGCTCATTGGAACACAAAATATTCCCAGCCTTGTTCCTTTCCTGTGGTTCTTTCCCTGGCCTTGAGGTAATTTCCTCACATGCATACACAGATCTCCAGAGCTCTCTTTCTGTGTAGCTTCTTTTTCCACAGTATTTCCCTCCTCAAATTCTAGCCATTTTGGCCTCCCCAAACTGAACTCTTTGTAACTCAGTGAGATTGCTGGGCTCTGTTTGGGTTTCCTTTCCCTGTACTCCAGCCTGGAACTCTCCAAGCAGAGAGCTGTGGCAATCGTAGGGCTTACCTTGTTTGTTTTCCTTTTCTCAGGGTTTTCTATGCTGTGCTTCTTGTTGTCTAATGATTGAAAACCATTTCATATGTTTTATTTGGGTTTTCTAGTTTTTTAAGGCAGGAAGAGAAATCTGGTCCTTTTAATCTGTAATGGCAAGGAGCAGAAATTCTCATTTCAGTTTTGAAATTTATTGAAACTAAAGTTGGGATTAAATTAGCACAGCTTTTTTGTCATTTTTTTCCAGTTGCTCAGCTATCCACTCAGACTTGTGTTTTAGTGAAAGAGATACAGAAATTGTTGGTTAGGATGGCTAGTGTTTACTATTTTTTTCCTCCTTTATTTTCATGTTGTTTCTCTTGGAGTCATAAAGAACATGCATATACAACATGCAATTTACCAAAAACAAAAACGCATGCATGTCAGACTTTGCATGGCTGAACTCCTCTCAGTGAGGCAGCAGGACTAAGCTTAAGAATGGTCTTCCTATGAATAAATGTATTTCTGTATATGGAGACATAGCAAAAATGATATCCTTGTGTATGACAAAGCTTAATATTATTTTTGAAATATTAGTATATAGTTGTATAAGTCACAAAACATGGTCACCACTGCAGTTAGTAACTCATAAGGAATAACTAGCCTTGATTTGTTACTTGATTTAATCTTAAAAGTGATAATTTCTCTATTAGCATTGTACAGCAAGAAGACCCAAATGAAGAGGTGTCTAAAGATGAGGTCATTCTGAAGCTGAAAGCAGAAGTGGAGCGTTTGCTGAGTAGCAACTCGGTGAAGCGTCATCTGGTGTCTCAGTTACAAAATGATCTCAAAGGCTATCGTAAGAAAATCGAAGATCTCCAGCAAGTGGAGAAGAATAAAGAAAGCATCGAGGTTGAGGTTTGTAGGGTTTGTCTAGTTAAAATGCCATTTTCAAAAGGCCTAATAAAGAAAATGCTCTTACAATTTTCATATTTAAATTAAACCTTTGTCTTTCAGGGGTTCATTTGACTTTTTTAGAAATAAAGTTTAATGAAGGAAATGCCACTTAAAGGAATATATTTTCTGGTTACTCTTGACACGTAGTAAATGAGATGCCAATTAGGTGAAATTCCTTTACCACAAATCCGAGGAGGCATTCTTCGTAACAAAGTATCTGCATTTCCTCAAGATTGGCCTGTACCAACAGTTCTTTAAATCTAGTTAAATGCTCCACAGTGAAATGCTTTACCATTTTGTCTATGAGATTTCTCCAGCCCATGTTCCTATAACGAGACTCATTCTATATAAAGAAATCGTAATTATATAGTGGTTGTGTGACAGGTGGGAAAGGCACAGAATCAGGTGATGTCAGAATCATTGAAATCCATCTTTACATCCTTCAGTTAGTCTCCTTACCTTATAGATGAGGCAAATGGAGCTGGAGGAGTTTGTGACCCTTGTGAGGTTACAGAGTCAATCTTCAAGCAAATTGAAACTAGAACACTTGACTAATAAACAGGCAAGGTTATTTCCACGAGATCATGCTATCACAGAGATCTTTAGGTTTGCCCTCCTTTAACAGCTGCCTTTTTTACCCTTGCATATTTCCAAATCCCAACCCATCTACACTCCCAATAGAAAATAATGCATAGAAGACCTAATAACTGAAAGGAAAGGGAAAGGGGAATATGAATGTAACTAGTGTATTCTTTTTCCTCCTGGTTGGAGATGTTTTACTTCCTACCTTAGTACTGTTTTATCTCCTGATCCTTTAAACTAGGAGTTGTGTTCATTAAAACGGTCCTATTACAGCAAAGTATGCAAGATGTTCTACGGTGCTTATTATTATGGAATTTTAATTGTGTCTAATTTATTTTCCAGAAATAGTAGTGTGTTTTACTGATAAAGGCCTGACCAGTCTGGTTCCCTCTTCTGAGTAACTATATTTGGTGAATACAACATTGATTTCAATGTTAACAACCAAATGAGAATGAACCCTCTTCCCCCAAGCACATCTAACATCTTTAAATCAGGCCGTTTCAACTGTTTCCATCTGTTTCTTAAAAAGGATAGGAATGCAAGCTTGTGTCTCAATTTGTGTTAGATTAGAGTTGATTAGTTTAAGCATTTTGGTGAGAATATGCTAAGATTTAAGAGAGTAGGAGCCTGATTTTGAGTCTGAACCTTAGCTCAGGTATCTCGGTGCTTTCTTTGTTTTATATTGCGGTTACTAATGGCACTTGCTATACAGATACACTTTCACATGAGTGGCAGTTGTTGGTGTCCAGGCCTTACATTGTTCTTTTTAGCCTTTCCTTTTGCCTCTATAGTCTGGTTGATCAGTAGATCCACGGGAGCGATCTCATCTTTGAATACTCTTTGTGTCCAGCTACTCTTTTGCCACAGTGATTTTTTAGGAGTCTACATTTGGTTTTTCTTGAAGTGTGACTTCAGCCCTTGCTGCTTATGTCTGTTCTGCTTCAACTTACCATATAGGAATTTCTTGGGAGTATTGTATTGATAATTCTCTGCATTTTTGCTGAGTAATTCGTCGTTGATCCACTTCCTAGATGGGGGAAAGGGAGGGGAAGTAGTAATTTAGCCAACAGGTGGTTTTTTAAATAAACACTCAAGTTCACAGTCATCTAATTAGCCCATGGACACCTTGTTCAAACTTTGCCTTTGCCTCTTATCCACGTCTTTACTAAGGGAGCTTTGTGTTTTGTCTGTAAAGTCAAAAAGCACGGTTGGGAGGTATGTGGAGGAAGAGCAAATCATTTAGTTAAAAATTTTTTTTTTTTAATCCTACTCAATGCAAGGTCTTGTGGGATTCAATGAAAGAAACAATGGCTATTCCTTGAAAGACCTTAGAATTTAGAACAGCACTATCCAATAGAAATATAATGGAGCCATATTGTAATTTAAAATCTTCTAGTAGTCACATAAAAGTAAAAGTAATAAGTGAAATTAATTTTAATAATATATTTTATTTAACCCCATACATACAAAGTATTGTCTTCTCAATATGTAATCAATATAAAACTATTAATGAGATGGTTTGCATTTTGTGTGTGTGTGCTAAGTCCTTGAAATCTGGCAAGTATTTTCTACTTACAGCACATTTCTCTTTGGACAAATCACGTTACAAGTGTCCATAACTAGATGTGGTTAATGGCTACCATATTCAACAGTACAGATCTATAATGAGATGGACATCTATAACTCTGTGTAATAAGGGTGATACTAGTTACAAAGTGATATGAGAAGGAATAACTAACTAGGCTTGGGGATGGGGATGGATGGTAAGGCAGCCTTAACAAAGTCTTTAAGGAGGAAACATTTGATCTCTGTCCTGGAGGATAAATCCAGGAGAGAAAGTGGGAAGGAACATTTCAGCTCTGAGCAGAAGTATATAAAAGAATGTAGCAAATAAGCTGGTGTGACTAGAGAGTAGGGCATGTGAATAGAAGTCTGTTGTATAAGTTCAGACTTTCTGAAATCTTTAATGAGGCCAAAAACATTTAGATGTCTTAATATTGATTTGTAGAGAGAATAATTATAGCTGGCATTAATGAAATGATGTTGCACTTCTTCGCTTGCTATAGGGATGTTAAGAGAAAGAACACATCAGTTTAAACTTCCCTGGGTATCTTTTTAAAGAGAACTAGGCCATCAAAATCTTTCCCTAAAGCCTTTCTAAGTATTAAGAAGGCAGCAAAACTGTTTACGTATGTCATCTTGACATGTTTCTTTTATGAACATTGTAAAGGTATTGATGTATTTATTGCTTTATATGTACCTTGTAGTACATTTTGTGTTTGTTTATATCCATCATATATAGAACAATTTAAAATTATTACAGAGAGTTAGTTTTTTCGCTTTCAAGTCATATGACTATTCAAAGCAGTGCTGCTCTATGACATCTCCAGGATCACATGTGATGAAAATTAGGAGTCTGCCCATACGTAGCACTGTGCAGCAACTGGGAGTGGATCAAATACTATGCTGTTCATTCCAGTTGAACAACTGGGCCATTAAGGTAGAATGTGGTAAAGACTTTAGGAAAACCGGACTGGCTTACTAGCCGTCAGGGCCCACATCTACACTGAATTTTTTGTAAGTGTAATAAATAAAACACAGAGACCTTTCTGTGTGTGATGCCCAATAGAGATGATTACCTTACCGCCAGTTGTGGTTAAAGCTGTACTCTGATTTCAAGGTACTTGATAGGCAATGTTCGGTAGGCAGCTCAGAAGGTTCCTAGCTAGAATCTTTTTAGACATAGAAATTATGAAGATCATATGAGAGTTGCTGTATTATATTTCTTGTTTTCTTGAAAATATTGTCTTCAGTATTCCACCTTTAGAAAGAAATTTTGTTGTGACTTGCAAGGGGTCCTTCTCTTTTCAAAGGTCTTTGTGAGGGTTTTGTGCTGACAAGTACAAGTACCTCACCCTGTGTGCCTGCAGTGTGATAATATATCAAACTGAGTGCAATAGCTAGCCATGAAAATTGTTTTTCAGTGTATCAGTATGATGTCACTTTCTTTCCTAGTAATAAAAACTCTCCAGTGGGGAAGGAAGCACAAAATGAATATGATAAATTTTAGAAAGTGGAGGCCAAGTTAAAAAAAAAAAAAAAAAGCCATCCTAATGAGTCAGTACAATCCTTTAAGTCTCCTTAGTACCCCCAAATCTGGAGAGAAGCTAACAGAATAGGTACTCTTAGCTCTTCTCTCTCGTGGCTAGGGTAGGAGCAGTGGCTTCTGGGAAATGATGGCAACTGAAACGAGGACAGTCAACACTGGAGCAGTCTCCCTCTGGAGGAAGTGAAGACTATGAATTGGAAGACTGAGCCGAAGCTGTGGTGTTCTGTCATCCCATGTGGGAATGAGATACATGTACCTCCCCTTCCCTCAATGAGTAGAATCAGCCTTGGTACAGGATATTTTTTAAACACTGTAGAAGAGAGCTCAGAGTTCAGGTAAATACATAAACCAGCAGGTCAAATAGATAAATATTTTTAAAAAATCTTTGTGACTTCCTCAGTGAATAAAGAACTTATAAAAATAGATAAGGCAAAAAACAGGTGGTAAAAGGCAAATGTGCAAAGTCATATAAACAGACAAATCTGGGAAGATGTAAAACAAATGAACAATGAAGGTATGTAAGAGGTTCCACTCTGATGGCAAAACAAGAAATGCAAATGAAAGCAATTGTTAGATACCCTTTTCCTCATCAAATACAGTCATTATTTAATAACAGTCACTGCCATTGGAGGTAAAGAGAGTTGGACAGACTTATGACAGTATACATTTGTACAACCTTCCTGGAAACAATTTGCCAAAGTCTATCATGAGTCTTAAAAATTGTACCTGTTGAATAAAATATATGAGTCAGTACTGATTATATAAATAAATAAATAGATGCTAAATTTAGTGGGTGAAAGTATGATGAAAAATAAGATATTTGCATGGTCTCAAAGTATCTTCTAAGATATTTACTATTAATTATGAGTGGAAAGATAGTAACTTTTATAATGGAGGTGTCTGCAGACACTACCTTCATCAATTGATCATCACCAGTGATGAGACTGATTGATATCATGTGTTTCCTGAAAAGCACACATGTCACTTCTGTGGCATTCATGCCAAAAATGCATAATCTGAGTTTATTAATGAAGTAACATCAGAAAAACCCAAATTGAGGGGGGACATCCTACAAAATAACTGGTTAGTACTCTTCAAAAATATCATGGGTTTGAAAGACAAGGATTGAAGGACTGTCCTAGATTAGAGGAGACTAATGAGACATGACAACTACAAGCAATGGGGAATCATAGATTGGATCCTGAACCAGAAAAAGGACGTTAGAAGAAAATTGGAAAACTTTGTATAACGTCTGCAGATTAGTTAGTAGTATTGCATCCTAGTTAATTTACTGTTGTTGATAATTGTACTGTGGTTATATTTGGGGACGATGGTAAAAGGTATGTGAAAATTATTTGTACTGTTTTTGCAATTTCTTTGTAAGCATGAAGTTATTTCAAAACAAGTACTTAGAATTTTTTAAAAACCTTTTGACTTCTTTTTAACATTTAGACTAAAACAGATACTGCAGAAAAACCAACTAATCAATTATGGCCTGATTCTTCTACTTCTGATGTGATTGTCAAAGATGATATTCTGCAACTTAAAAATGAAATTCAAGTTTTACAACAACAAAATCAGGTAATTAAAAAATTTTCCAGAATTTTGTGAGAATTTTCATTAAATTCAAAGGATATAATAGACTTTTCAAAAATACAGAGGCAATGTGAGTTAGCAGATAAGGATATTAGTAGGTGACTAAGGATTCCAGTTATTTCCCTTTGCTATTGGTCATGGGGTAGCAGTGTCATCAGAAGGTGGATGAGTGTGGTATAGTTCCCTGTCTATACAGTGGCATGGCTAATGGAGGTGTTCTTTCCTCTTTAGCCAGCCCTTGACCAAAAAGTAAAACTTTGCTTATTTAGATGGTTACTGAAGATCATTGAATTCTAAGACTTATTTTAAGGCATCAGCCAATACTTCTCTGGTTAAATGTTTTCATTTCATATATTTAAAATTAAATATAAAATTTCAACTTTTATTCTTATCAGAAAGCTACCTGTCAAATAAATGAATCTACTCTTTTCAAGGCATGAAGAGGCTTTCGTAGAATTATGAAAATGATATTATGTCAAATAATGTTACAGGGTAGAGATAAAGCACAGAGGATGTTAAAAAATGAGATTAGACTAATCAATGAAAATGATGTTTATTTCCTCTAATTTGATGTTATTCTTTTATATCTAGGAACTTAAAGAAAATGAAGAAAAACTGAGAAATACAAATCAAGACTTATGTAATCAAATGAGACAAATGGTACAAGATTTTGACCGTGATAAACAAGAAGCTGTGGATAGGTAAAGTCTATACAGAAACTAATGCAGGCCTCCCAGGCACCCTTCCCTTTCTTTCTTCCCCCCCTCCCTCAACCCTCCCAAAAAAAGATTCAAGAGAAATGATGGAGTGAACCCTCCCTGTTGAGCTCTTGGCTTAGAGAAGATGAGTCCCTGGCTTCTCAAATTAGAATTTGGAACACATTTTCCATAGAAATGATGTTATGGAGTGGATTGGGTTCCATAGCATCATTGAAACTGTAGTTCACTGAAATAGTATAGCTTAATGGTTTTTAAAGGCTAGTCTGGGAAACTATTCTTTATAAGGAAGAAATCTGTGGGAGGGAATATGTCTTCCAAATACCAAATCATAAACTTGGAAACAGACTTTTGGAACATAACTTACTTGTGAGTTGGGTATTGCTAGTGTTTGTATTTAATATAGATGACTTGGAATTTTGGAACCACATCCTCCATTATTTCAATTCATTTTTTATAAACAAGTCCTCAACACAGACTAATATCTGTGTTTGAAGGATTGATGCATCCTCACATCCAAGTTTCTAATTTTTTTCTAGAAACATTCGAAGAAAGAAAATTTTGAAGATTCTTATAAGATTATCCATTGAAAATTAGTTACTGCCACTTTTGGTTGGGGAAAACCAATCTGACCTTAATTATAATTTGCATTAGAGGGAGGAGTTGGGGGAAAGAAGGAAGAGAAACCAATTCATCTTGGTGTTTCTAGTAGTGCTGGGCACTGCCTTAGGTCCTCTGTCTGCTGTCTGTTTCCAGGTGTGAGAGGACTTACCAGCAGCACCATGAAGCCATGAAAGCCCAAATCCGCGAAAGCCTGTTAGCAAAGCACACTTTGGAGAAGCAGCAGCTCTTTGAGATTTATGAGGGGACTCGCTTGCAACTTAGGTGAGAATAAAAGAGTTTAGCTGCCCTTTAAACTGTAGAGACAGCATTCTTCTGTTCTGTAGTTTAGAGGAAAATTTTTTGTTCTGCAGCATTGTATGTTTTTGTGGTCATTTCGTTGCTGGTTTTGTATATCCAAGGTCTGAATTAGATAAGATGAACAAGGAGATGGTTGCTGTGCAGGAATGTTACCTGGAAGTGTGCAGAGAGAAAGATAATTTAGAATCGACTATCAGGAAGACCATTGAAAAGGAGCAACAGGCTCAGGAGAAGAAGGTATAGTACAAGTTCATGTTGTGTTTACTTCATTTCATTTCTCCAGCCTCACTATTGTCATTGAAACCGCTATACTTCTTCTCTTGTGCAATGGGGAAGGCATACGTAGAAGACTCTTTACTTTGGGCTGTATCACGCTAATATAGCTCACAAAATATAGTAAATGTTGAAATGATTATTAAAACCTTAGTAGAAAATGGTATACATGTAGGAGAAAATCATTCTTCCTTATAGATTTATTCTAAGAGGCAAAAAAAAGAGTTCTAAAAATAAGCAAGTGTGGACCCGAGTCACTTTGAGACTGAAACCCAGGGATCCTCATTTTGCATTTGTTTGTTGGCTACGCAGGCGACCCTACACAGTCCTGTGAGCCCTGCTCAGGTGTTCCTGCAGAGACATTTCCCCTGACCCATTTCTCTCTCAGTACCTAAGTGTCATTTCATTCTTCGGGGGAGAAGGGCAGGAGTTTGAACTTGGGTCTCCTGATAGGGAAGGTGGTGACATTGTGGAGAGGAAGGTAACAGTGTTAATGTGGCCTTTCTCAGGGAAGCTCTCATTTTTCCTGGAGGCTGGAGGGGCCACAGTGGACTCTCTGCTCCTGCCTGAATCTTCTCAGTTGCCACTGGTGAGTGTCCAGGAGTAGAATCACATGTAAACAGCCTCCCCTCCTCCTCTCTTCCCTGTCCTGGCCGGAGCCTCATCCAGACCCACGTCTGACTCTCCTTCCACTTTGGACCAGCCTGCAGACCACAATTTGAAAGCCACCTGCGTCAAGATTAGTAAATATTTTTAAAGGCTTCAGTAAATGTTCTATATGGAGGTTTCTGAATAAGTTATATAAAGCAAGCTGTTGCTACCAGAGACTTAAAAAGAACAGTAGAGAGGGGGTGAAGAATTTGGTTCACTTAATATTTTGATTGATTATTTTTGAATAGATTAATACGGTAAAAAAAAACATGCCATGTGTACATATTATCTTCTGGAAAAAGAACTTCTAAAGGGAGCTCTTTTAGTGAGTACTGGCTGTATAAAAGTTAGAAGGGATCTTAAATTACCTAGAAATTAAGGACTTAGCTTTCAGTTATGTTTAGAAAACTTAAAATACAGAGAAGATCTCTAGCGTGCTTCTTTTCTTTCTTTCTTTTTAAAGGTATAAATTGGTAAGAATGTAAGAGCAATTCTCTCAAGGAGCTCATTCTTTTTAGGAATATATTTTCCGGTACTTTTCCTTAAAGGAATCAATTTGGCTGTAAAACTGGATCTTCTATAATTGGTTAGTTGCAATTAATAGCTGCTACTGACTGATATTTTGGCTCATGAATACTTGTGCACTGGAGCAAGAAGGAAAGTTAAAACTGCTATTTGGCCCTTCCAAAAGAAACTTACAGGTTAAATTTTTTTCTTTAAAATTTTAAAATTGTCATATAGTAAAATTGACTCTTTTTCATTTGGTGTACAGTTCTATAAATTTTTAACATGTATAGATTGATCAGGAAACAATAGTTTTCACCCTAAAAAACTCCGTTGTGTTATCCCTTTGTAGTTACACCCAGCCCCGCCTAAGAGCCAGTGTACTTAAACCATTAGAAGTTTAATTCCTTCCTTCTCTGGGGATTCTTTAGTTTTTTATTTAGATTTGTATAGGCCCTTTCTAGGGCTTAGTAGTCTTTATAAGCTAGTCAGAACAGAACTACTTTAAATTTAGGAGACTTTAATCTTTTCATATCCTCCAGAGGTAGCAGAGATTTACCAATTTGTCTTCCTAGAAAGTGTTTCACACTCAGACAATGGAAGAATCTGTCTAAACTCGAGAAAGCTGGGGAACTTTCAGGGTAGTCCTTCTCTGCAGGACATAAGCCATTTTCCCTGCATTGACCTTCAGGTCAGGAACTTAGTCTGGATACAGAATTTATAGGACAGTCATCACCAAGAGTCCCATGGTGGATTTTCCTGTTTCATATGTGCTCTTTTCTGAAACACTTGTTGAGTCAGGCTGTGGGTTAAGTAGAAGCTCAATTAAGTTTTAAAGTTTTTATTAACACATAGAACTTTCCTTGCATGTTAACCTGGCTTATTCACAGAAAGGGAAAAAAAAAGTCATACATACAGAACCCTTCAGATTGGGAGATAATCAGTGGTGGCCGCGAATCTGCAGACAAGGCAAAGATGATCAATATTCCCATTCTTAATGTCATTCCTATACACATTAAGGCTCATTTATACTGTTGTTAATACAGTAATCCCCCTTACATTATAAGACCCCCAGTGGATGCCTGAAACTGCCGATAGTAACGAACCCTGTATATACTATGTTTTTTCCTATACATACATATCTATGATAAAGTGTAATTTATAAATTAGGCACAGTAAGCGATTAACAACAGTAACTAATAATAAGATAGAACAATTATAATAATATACTGTATTGAAAGTTATGTGAATGTGGTCTCTCTCAAAATGTTGTACTATACTCACCCTTCTTTTTGTGATGTGAGATGATACAATGCCTGCGTGATGAGATGAAGTGAGTTGAGTGACGTAGGCATCGTGACATAGCGTTAGGCTACTACTGACCTTCTGATGATACTTCAGAAGAAGGATCATCTGCTTCTGGACCACGGTTGACTGAGGGTAACTGAAACCACAGAAAGCGAAACCATGATTATGGGGGACTACTGTACATGCTAAGTCAGTCCTTAGAAGTTAGAGTTTTTTTGCAGAACTCTAACTTTGCATGTTTAAATGTTTTGAAACTATCCAAATATTTTCTTCCCTTTAATGAAAAAACTATTTGAATTAGATATTCCTGTAGTATGTTCAAATGGCAGATCCCTATGACCAATAAATCTATTGCTTTTCCTGTGTAAGGAAAGGGAAGCAAGGTTTTCCTTGTGGTGGTGGATTGCAGAAATGGCCACGCAGTCTTTCCATTTCTGAATGTATGCCCCCTTACAATGTGACTTTGTAGCTATTCTCAGTAAGAGGTAGTCTCTCATCCTTTAAATCTGATCTTAGCCACATGACTTACTTTGGCCAATGGGACATTAGTAAACATTATGCAAAAAGAGGTGTTTATGGGGGCAGGCCCCGTGGCCTAATGGTTAAGTTCCACACTCTCTGCTTTGGCAGCCCAGGTTGGCTTCCCAGGCACAGACCTACACCACTCGGTGGTGGCTATGCTGTAGTGGCGACCCACATACAAAATAGAGGAAGAGTGGCACAGATGTTGGATCAGGGCAAATCTTCTTCAAGCAAAAAGAGGAAGATTGGCAACAGATGTTAGCTCAGGGCAACTCTTCCTCAGCAGAAAAAAAAAAAAAGAAGTGTTTGGGGCCGGCCCAGTGGCTTAGCGGTTAAGTGCATGCGCTCTGCTGCTGGCGGCCCAGGTTCGGATCCCGGGCGCGCACTGTCGCACCGCTTCTCTGGCGATCCTGAGGCCACGTCCCACATACAGCAACTAGAAGGATGTGCAACTATGACATACAACTATCTACTGGGGCTTTGGGGAAGAAAAAAAAGGAGGAGGATTGGCAATAGATGTTAGCTCAGAGCCGGTCTTCCTCAGCAAAAAGAGGAGGATTAGCACGGATGTTAGCTCAGGGCTGATCTCCCTCACAAAAAAAAAAAAAAAAAAAAGAAGTGTTTGTACATTGGGGCTTGCAAGCTTGATACTCTTAGGAACCCTGTGACTACCACCATGAGAATGATCTGGGATAACCTGCTGGATGATGACACGTGTGACCAAGTCATCACCATCATCCTAGCAGACATCGAGCTAACTACCAGACATATGAGTGAGGGCATCTTAGACCATGTAGCCCCAATTGCTTGCAGAGATCAGCCAAGTTGGCTTAGACCAAAACCACCACCCAGCTGACCCACAGAATCATGAGAAATAATAGGTGTTTGTTGTTTTAGATCTCTTAAGTTTTGGCTGGTTTATTATGTAGCAGAGCCAACTGATATACTCACAAGCATACAAACACACAGAAAATTGGTAGCAGTTTTCTGCTGTGGGTCAAAAGGAAATGCAGATATATATGGAAACAACTCCTAAAGGGTAGACATACACAGATAAGACAATTTGAGGATTCCTTCTATAGTCAAACAAAAATAATAACTGATATATGATGTGACACTGGACAACTTTCTTAACTATATGGTTGAGACTGTCCTGTAGTCTTAGTACAACTTCAGTCTCCATGACCGGATTGTGAAGAAATGGGTCCCTCAGTCACTGGAGACTTTCCAAAATCATTCAGCACTGAGCAGACATAGATATCATCTTCTTGGCATTTGCCAGTGATGGAGAGGAATCAGATAGAAATTAAAACAAATAATCCAGGTCAGCTGTGAACCAGAAAAAACCCAGACAACCAGATAGTCATGAATCAGAAATAGTGCCCAGAAGACACAGAGCAAAAGCTTTGTTGCTGTGTGGCAGTAGGTTTGTGAGGTATGCTTCTCTGGCGTTGTAGTTTGTGGGTTGCAATGTTACTTCTCATGGCATCTCAGCAGGACCTCGAGAAAACCGTTTCAAAAAATTTTCAAACAGAAACTCGCAGATAACTTTGATTCCTGAGTAGAGTTTTATTAGAGTTTTCAAATCAACTGGGTTCCTAGAATAGAGAAAGTTGTATGAATAAGGCAAATTATTAAATTTTAACTGACATTTGACAGTTCTTATTTGATGATGCCTTAGCTAGTTTTGATTAAAAAATTTGTCTTCAATAAAACAATACAAGTCTAGATTTCTCACAGGATGCATAGCTTTTAGGAAGGAGCAATAATTCTTGGCTTATCTCAGAATACAAGTCTTTCAGAAATGTAAGTGTTTTCTGGGCTCTGATACCTAATTTGTCCCATGATGGATGGGGTGTAAACATAAACAAATTTTCACTTTTTAAAAAGACTATTTGGTCTTTTGGAAATGTGTTTATTGTATTAGATGCTTTTTCTTTTAATCTAGTCATTTGTAAATTTTTTACTCAAATATTTGAGTAAGCAGGTCTTTACAAGACAATTTATTCAACTGACTGAGTTAACATGTAGGAAGATCATTTGTCTTTGTTGCTGCTGTCCATTACGTGCATATAACCATTATTTTATAAATTTGACTTGGAGAATATTAGTGTTGTACAGGGCTGTTTGCTTGAATTTTGTTTAAAGAGATAGTTATTGCAGGAAAGAGAAGAATAGGTAAGCAAACTGCAGGTGGAACTTGAAGAAATGTACCAAGACACCCTTATGATAGACAAGAACAAGTGGCTGAAAGAAAAAGAAACTAACATTAAACAGCAGGTTGAAAATGAAGTAACGTTAGCCAAAGCACGCTGGGATAAGGAACAGGAAGAAGTATGGGTTGACGTTTCTTTATAGTCACCGTGTTTAAAAAATGTAGTATTAACTCTCGAGAGACAGTTCTTCATGAACAGACATGTAGTTTTTAATTTCCAAGTACATGCATAATCTCTCGTTTTACTTCTCCAGAATTGGGCCATTAGCAGGTTACTCACACCAGTTTTATTTTTTAAAACTTCCCACCTCTTGACTCTTCAACTCAATTCAGGATATAATGGATTTTGGGGGTGCACTTTTTTGATTCCTCAAAATGAAACCATGATTTAATTTCATATTGTGAAATGATTCTGATAGCTCTAGACCAATCTATATACAAATAAATAACCTATATTGTGGATTAGAAGAAAGAAGTAATGACTGGGGAGAAATGTTATCTCTATTATCTAGGTAGTAAATGTGATTAGGAAATGCTAATAATTTCCTAGAAAATAAAGAACCAAATTATAATCTTAAAAGTTTAGTTGGAAGTGAAATAAATTCTCAAATTTATTTAACCTAGATTCTCCTGTCCACAAGATTGCTATTAATTGCGACTGGGGCTACCTGAAGATGGAACAGTAGACCACTGTCCTGTCTTTTGGCCTCTCTACTCCTCATCTCCCATCCTCTCTTCCAAATAGCATTTCATTAATCTAGTGCTAGCACCTGAAATTCTTTTACTAGTCATTTTTTAATTTAAAAAAAATACATATATAAATAATCTGGATGACACAAAACAAATCCTCTATTTTTACATTGTTGCAAATTGCTTTTCAGCTGGATTTCCTTGTCAGTTGTTTACCAGGGGGATAAGATAGACAGCTTATGTTTTTGTGAGAATGTCGGGAGAGCATAACCTGTTACGCTGGATGGCTATTTCAGGTGAAGTAATACAGCCAGGGGCTTTGGTAGCCAGGGAAGCGGTTTGAGAACTCTGGATACCCAGGAGGTGGGAAACAGGAAAAGGGCAAAGCAAATTTTGCTGTTTCACAGTTTTGCCTAAGACTGATTGTATTGAATCCATCCCACTGTACTGTTGAAAGTAGAAAAGAATTCTTCCAATAATGTCCCCCTCTTGAATGCACAGTTGACTCAGTAGAATTTAATATCATAACAAGATTCTCATGTGTTCTAGTAAGTAAAACTGTTTTTTACATTGTTCAATTTTAAGTTTATTGATCAGACTTACCCAGTGCCTGCTTTGTGGAAAGCCTGGTGTTGATGGAAAAATACATATTAATAGCAGACGTTTTCTTTTTTTTAAGTCGTGCCATCTTCATAGTGGCAATGTCAAAGCTTCCAGAAAGTTGCATATGGAGTTCAAGATAGCCTGACCTTACACAACATACTAAAATCTTCCATGTGATTTATGTCACATAAATAAGGTCAAAGAGTAACTTGCAGGATTTACTTGAGAATATATTTTCATTGACGAAATTTCTAAACCTCATGCAATTACTACAACAATGTCTAGATGGTTTTCAAACACAGCTGTGGTTGCTTTTTTGGCTAGCTAATAATTCTAGTTTTTGCTTATTTGAATATTTTTCTTTTCTTATGATTTTTCTTCTGAAAACAGATCAAACAAGAACTTACTCAACAGCTTGAAAAAGAGTGGCAGTCTAAGCTGGATCAAACTATAAAGGCAATGAAAAAGAAGACCTCAGATTGTTGCAGCCAAACTGACCAAGTAACCACCATCGATGTTATTTCCAAGAAAGAGATGGCAATCACGATAGAAGAGCAGAAGCGAAAGATCCAGCAAGATTTAGAGCAAGAGAAGGAAATAGCTATCAAGGGGGGCTTGAAGAAAATTGAGGTTGAGTTGGAACTCAAATATTGTGAAAATATTGCCAAACAGGTAATAAGCAGGTTTATTATAGTAAAATTATTGGAACTGCCTCTTAATGAAAACCTGTAAAATGCTACCATTGAACTTGTTCATAACTTTATACTTAAAAATTTTGTACATTCCAGGGGAGAGAACCTCTTATGTTGTTCCTAAAATTTTCTTCATTATATATATTTCTGTTACAAAGCTGTCACCTCTCAGTTTTTCTGTATATCCTTTCAGTTTACAAAATGTTTGCTCTTCTGAGGTCAGTCCAAGCTGACCTAAGATGCCTGAGGTTAAAAGATGGTGGTTTTATATCTGAATGAAGCACAATTTAATTATGAATCTTGCATATCTAACTTCATAGAAAATATTCTACTAAAGTAGTTACAAAAGCAAACTGAAAGCGGATAAGGTATTTAACAATATTTGTGTTGAGACTTGTGGAGGGGAATCTGCAGGCATGCCCCTTAAATGGGACTTTGTCTGTAAATCCCATCCGCTGCCAAAAATTGGTGCTATTGCCTCCCGTTGGAAGCACTCGAGGAGCTAGCTCACTTTTAACTGGGGCGTGTTACTTGTTTTCCAAGAAATGTCAAACTGAGAAAAGTATAGCTCTGTGTTAATAGAATAAAGATGAGTTATTTGTGTTAGCTATATGATCTATTACAATGATTCTCGAATTTTTCGGTCTCAGGATATCTTTACTCTTTTAAAAATTGAAGACTCTAAGGAGTTTTTGTTTGTGTGGGTTAGAATTACTGTGTTGGAAAATCTAAGAAAAGTTTTTTTGTTTTATAATATTTTCATAAGTAAAATAATTTCTTTGCTTGGATCTATATCAGATTAAATACCAGCATCTTTTGAAAGGAATTTTTTTTTGGCTTAAAACAGCATAAATGTATTCTCTCACAGTTCTGGAGGGCAGGGGTCTGAAATCAAGACATCAGCAGGACCATACTCCCTCCAGAGGCCTTCGGGGAGAATTTGTTCCTTCCAGCTTCTGGTGGCCGCAGGCGTTCTTTAGCTTGTAGTTGCACTCCTTCCAATCTCCAGCTGCACCTCCGTATCACCTTCTCCTCTGTGTGTCTGTGTGTCTTTCCCTCTTCTGTCTGTCTCAAGTCTCCCTCTGTTTTTCTTTTTTTTTTTAATTAAGGTATAGTTGACATATAACATTATATTAGTTTTAGGTGTACAGCATAATGATTTGATATTTGTGTACACTGCAGAATGGTCACCACAATAAGTCTAGTTTCTGCCTGTCACCATACAAAGTTACAAAATATGCAATACAATATTATTGACTATGGTCACCATGCTGTACATTATATCCCTCTGACTTATTTATTTTATGACTGGAAGTTTGTGCCTCTTGACCCCCTTCACCCGTTTCACCCACCCTCCAATCTCCCCCTCCTCTGGCAACCACCAGTCTGTTCTCTGTGTCTGTGAGTTTTGTTTTGTTTTGTTTGTTCATTTGTTTTGTTTTTTAGATGCCACGTATAAGTGAAATCGTACGATATTTGTCTTTCTCTGACTTATTTCACTTAGCATAATACCCTCAAGGTCCAACAGTGTTGTTGCAAATGGCAAGATTTCATTCTTTTTTATGGATGAGTAATATTCCATTGTATATATATACCACATCTTCTTTATCTATTCATCTATCAGTGGGCATTTAGGTTGTTTTCATGTCTTGGCTATTATGAATAATGCTGTAGTGAACACAGAGGTGCATATATCTTTTGATTTAGTGTTTTTGTTTTCTTCAGATAAATACCCAGAAGTGGAATTGCTGGATCATATGGTAGTTCTATTTTTAGTTTTTTGAGGAACCTCCATACTGTTTTTCCATAGTGGCTGCATCAATTTACATTCCTAGCAACAGTGCACAAGAGGATTTTTTTTCCACATCCTCTCCAAAACTCGTTATTTCTTGTCTTTTTGATAATAGCCATTCTAACAGGTGTGAGGTGATACCTCACTGTAGTTTTGATTTGCATTTCCCTGCTGATTAGTGATGTGGAGCATCTTTTCGTATGCCTATTGGCCATCTGTATATCTTTGTTGGAAAAATGTGTATTCAGATCCTTTGACCATTTTTTGATCAGATTGTTTGTTTTTTTGCTATTGCGTTGTATGAGTTCTTTATATATTTTGGATATTAACCACTTTTTGGATATATGATTTGCAAATATCTTCTCCCAATAGATAGGTTGTCTTTTCATTTTGTTGATGGTTTCCTTTGCTGTGCAGAAGATTTTTAGTTTGATGTAGTCCCACTTGTTTATTTTTGCTTTTGTTGCCCTTGCCTTTGGAGGGAGCTCCAAAAAATCATCACTGAGACCGATGTCAAGGAGCTTAGCACCTATGTTTTCTTCTAGGAATTTTATAGTTTCCAGTCTTACATTCAAGTCTTTAATCCATTTTGCATTAATTTTTGTGCATGGTGTAAGATAATAGTCTAATTTCATTCTTTTATATGTAGCTGTCCAGTTTTCCCATCACCGTTTATTGAAGAGATTGTTCTTTTCCCATTGTATATTATTGACTCCTTTGTCGTAAATTAATTGACCATATACGCATAGGTTTATTTCTGGGTTCTCTCTTGTCATCTATGTGTCTGTACATAACACATTGTGTTTTTAAGATTTTCTCCTTATTTAACTTCACATTTTAATTATAATGTGTCTTGGCATGGATCTCTTTGGGTTCATCTTATTTCTAACTCTCTGGGCTTCCTGAATCTGGATGTCTGTTTGCTTCCATAGATTAGGGAAGTTTTCAGCCATTATTTCCTCAAATGCGTTTTCTCTCCCTTTCTCTCTCTCTTCTCCTTCTGGGACCCCTATAATGTGAACGTTGTTCTGCTTGATGTTGTCCCATAGGTCTCTTAAGCTATCTTTACTTTTTAAAATTCTTTTTTCTTTTTGCTCATCTGTTTGGGTGAGTTACACTGTGCTGTCTTCCAGGTCACTGATCCTTTCTTTTACTTCATCTAGTCTACTATTGAACCCCTATATTGTATTTTTCAGTTTAGTTATTGTATTTTTCAGCTCTCTGACTTCTGTTTGGTACTTTTTTATATTTTCTATTTCTTTGTTGAAGTTCTCTCTCTGTTCATCGATTCTTCTCCTGAGATTGGTGAGCATCTTTCTGACCACTGCTTTGAACTCTTTATCAGGTAAATTACTTATCTTTGTTTCATTAAGGTTTTTTTCTGGGATTTTATTTTGTTCTTTTGTTTGGAACATATTCCTCTATTTCGTCATTTTGCTTGGCTCTCTGTGTTTGTTTCCATGTATTAGGTGAAACAGCTATCTCTTCTAGTCTTGAAGGAGTGGTCACAGGAAGATTGGGGGTGTGTTTCAGTCTGCTGTTTGTGCAGTGTCCTGGGAGTGGTAGCCCACTAAGAACTGTCTCTCTGATTGTTTGAGTCCTGTGGGGCCCAGAAACACAAGTCCCCTTGGCCACCAGAGCCAGGCTTCCAAGAGGTGTCCCCTGTGTGAAATGCGCACACCTGCTGGTTTTGGCAGTGCCATGGGGGAGCACTGGGTGGGGGCAAACTCGCCCATCAGGTTTCGTGGGACAGGGCCACATGAGGGCTGGGCAAGTGGCACTAGCAAGGTGGAGGGAGAGTGCAAAAATGGTGCCTGCCAGCACTGGTGCTATCAAGGTAGAAGGAGAGTGCAAAAATGGTGTCTACCAGCGCCTCTGTCCTCAGAGAGGGTTCCCACAGACCGCTGCCCCTCCAGCAGATGCTTCTAAGATTAGCCAATGAACCTCCTTCACATATGGTCTAGGTGGTTTTCAAACTGCTCTTCTTGCACTGGGTCCCAGGGTGAGTGAGTCTGCGTGAGCCCTGTAGGAGCACAGTGTCAGTTTCCTACAGCCCTCTGGGTCCACTGGAGGTAAACCCCTTTGGTTTTCAAAGCCATAAATTTTGGGGTCTCCTGTCTCTGTTCATGTCCCCAGGGTTGGGGTGCCTGGTGTGGGACTTAAACCCCTTGCTCCTTCGAGAGAATCTCCATATTTGTGAGGTCACTCTTGCTTGTGGGTCACCACGTCAAGGGTGGGGTTTTGGCAAAGCCTGTGTTCCCACCTGTCTTGCTTGTCTCGATGTGGCCTTTCAATCGTTTGTTGTGGAGGAGCTGTTCAGCTAGTTACCAGGTCTTTTCCAGAGAGAATTGTTCTGTTTATAGCTGTAGACTTGGTGTGTGGGAGAGGAGGTGAGTTTAGGATCTTTTTATGCTGCCATCTTGAATCGTCTCCCTAAGAAATTTTTAAAACACAGGAATACTCAAGCACACTTGTCATTGGCTGTCAGAGCAGTGACACATCACATAGCGTATCGCCTCTGGAGAACTGTACTGTTTACACGTGAAAGAATGGGAGTAGAAAAGACAGATAAGGTCTGAATATTATTTTGAAAATAGGTTTTTTTTTTTTTTTTGGTGAGGAAGATTGTCCCTGAGCTAACATCTACACCAATCTTCCTCTACTTTGTATATGGGCCGCTGCCACGGCATGGCTTGATGAGCAGTGCATAGGTCTGCGCCCAGGATCTGAACCCACGAACCCCAGGGTGCCAAAGTGGAGTGCGTGAACTTAACCACTATGCCACTGGGCTGGCCCCATGAAAATAGTTTTGACCTCACAGACCACCTGACAGGGTTTCTAGCCCTCAGAGGTCCCTGGACCTTAATTTATTGTTATTTATTGTATTTATTATTTTAGATCTATTACTCATTATAGAGTCTTAAGATAACAACTGAATCAAAGTTTTTAAAGATATACTCAGCTTTTTGATAAACACTTGAAATTCTACCTTTTTGTTAGTTTAGTCTACATGATTTTTACAGGGAATCCTTAAAGTGTGAAAACAGGTAAATACATGTAATTGTATCAAGGACATCATCTTCAATCAGTTAAAAACATAATTTTCTGAAGTGTTTACTATAATGTTTGAACAGAGTTAAAAAAATTTTCTATAGACAAAGAGGTTTAAGAGTGCTGCTTTGGTATTTATACAAGTATAGATCTTGTGAAGAAAAATAGCATGATATAGTAGAAAGGAAATATTCATAATAACTCTTTAAGGAATGTAAATTTCTATTGGAGACTTTATCTTTTCCCTATATTTTTAACTCCCTGGAATTTACCTGTAAATATATGTAGCATTTTAGTGACAAATTCAGCCCCTTATATCAGCTCTGGTTTTGTGTGTGTATATGGATATTTGTACATGTCTATCTGTGTGTATGTCAAAACAAGGAAATGAGGAAAGATGACTTAATAAACAATCTTGTGGTAACCTGTAACAGATTTACAACCCGGGGACCCTCATAATTCATCAGGTCTTACATTTTTGCCAAATTGATGTATCACCCTCATTCTTTAGTCACAAACTCATTCTTGACAGCAGGAAAATTTGCTCAGTGTAAGGCTGTCACCTATATTGGTGCATGCGTGCATGTGTGCGTGTGTTTGTATGTGGGGCCTGAGGTCTGAGGAGGTGGTGGATGTACTGACTGGACAGCAGCTGACACCAAGCAGCCTTCATGCATGACTGCTCCTTTTTCCACACGATAAATAGGAGTTTGTTGGAAATGGCAATTGGTACTTTGTATAAAGCTTTCTAATAATAGTACTGGACATCAAACATTTATAGATTACCACTTCCTGCTGTGGCATTTGCCTGGGACAGTACGGGACGTTTAGAACAGAAGGATTAGAATCTCCTATTTGGGATAAAGTAGGGTACTTGCAGTCACTGTAAACTAATGTTGTGTAATACAAAGCAAAATACACATGAAATCATAGTTGCTGTTTGCAAATGGGGTCTTTCTGAAATTTCATACCTCACTTTACCTTGCACTATCCTGCAGGTAGAAACAGCTGTGCAAAATGCTCGTCACCGATGGCTGGAAGAAATGCCTGAGCTTGCAGAGTATAAAGCGCGTGTAAGAGCAGAACAGAAGAAGTGGGAAGAACAACAAGAGATCTCTGTGGCCAAACGGGTAAGAGCTCTCTTGGAAAGAAGCTTCAGGAGGGCCTCTCTCCTGACCTCTTCTCTCATCTCAGTCCCAGGAATTTGTACCCACTCACGGTGATGTGGAAGGATTAAATACGATAATGCATTTAAGTGTTAGCTCAGGCCCTGGCTAGTCGTATCTGTTCTCATCATCGTCAGGATGTTGAGGGAGAGAGAATATACTTTAGGGTCTTGAAACTCTTATAATCAGAAAGATAACCTTAACTGTGAAACTAAATCCCATTCTATCTTGCCCTATCTTTAGGAGAAATTGAGAAAACTTTATCTGTTTATTATTAGACAGTATCCATTCACATGCTTAAAGTTTGTTTTCTGTGCTGTGTCAGTAGTCTTATACATATTCTCCTTGGTAAATAGCCAACTCTCCTTTCCAGAGATGTCATGTTTCTCGACTGGAAACATCAGATTTTATAACTGTTTGTATTCTCCCAACTTAATTTATTAGTTTAAACCCATGCTAATCAAAATACCAATAAACTGAACATAGTTTTGAAATTTGACACAATAATTCTAAAATTTATTTGGAAAACTGGAAAGACTAGAAATATTTCAGATGTTCTGGAAAAGAAATAGTAGTCCAGCCCTAACACATAATAGAATATGTTGGAAAGCAACATTTCAGAGAGAGTTGAGTCACAAAAATAGAATTCTTTTTTATTTAGTACTACACAGACTTCAGAGATAGGCCCAACTATGAATAAAAGCTTAATAAACGTTTCAAATTAAGGGAATGAGGAATTATTCCATAATAAATAGTCTGATGATAGGCAGATAGCACTTTGGAAAAATTAGCTTTACCCACTCCATACATCACAATAAACTCTAGGTTCATTAAGAGGTTAAACATTTTTAAATGAAAGTGTAAAAAAAATTAAAAAGAAATTGAATATTTCAGGTCTGTATCATAATAATAATTCAATTTTGAGACAACAGACACAGTAGCAAAGATAGATAAAATAATAGGATAAAATATGTGCAAGCATTTAAAACAGTTTTTTTGTAATAAAAAAACAAAAAGTGAGGGGATAATAAAAATAAGGAAAATAAATGGATCAAACATAAGGCACATTAATTCTAATGTATGATAAGAAAAACAATACAAATTTATAAGAAAAACAAGAATCTATGGGTAAGTACACCAATGATATGAAGAGACAGTCTTCATGAGAAGACCAAATAGCAAACTTAAGGTGCTATTTTATGCCATATGTATAAATCCTCTCTTCTTAATTGTAATACACAAAATATAATAGATTGCAGTGTCAGGAATATACTACTCTCCCGATGTCAAAACTGTTTTGGAAAATAACATATGTAACAGACATTGTAAATGATTTATATGTTGTATTCATAATCTTATTCCACAAATTATTTAAGGCAATACTTCAGCATTAATAAAAAATCTATTTTAATATTTTTCTTAAGTTATCTGGTAGTACATGGGTGTTCATTACACTGTTCTCTGTATTTTTTAGTATGTTGAAATATTTCAAAAGGAAATTTAAGTGGGAGAGAGAGAGGAGACAATATGACGGTGTGCATGTGTCTCAGAGCTCAGACGTCAAGAAGAAGAATAAAGTTGGGTAGAATATAGAAAATAAAATAGGCAAGAGATCTTTCCTTAAGAACACAGAAGGCCTGTATGTATGTGAACGCAGAAACCTAGAAAGCACAGTCTGTTGCTTCTCAAATGTTGGCAGGCGTGAGAATCACCTGGAGTGTTTGTTAAAGCAGATTGCTGGGCTTTGTTCCTAGAGATTCTGATTTGATGGATCTGGAGTGAGTCCTGAGAATTTGCATTTCTAACAGGCTTCCAGTGATGTGACATTGCTGGTCTTTGAACCACACTTGGGTGTGAGTAGCTCTACTCTAGATAATTATTCAGCCACAAAACATAATGTTAACATGTTGCAAATCCTTCCTCCAAACTGAAGGAGGTGGGCAAGGGCCAGTTTCATAGCATTGGCTGGAGAGTTCTTGTAAGATTAGAGTGATCCATCAAGATCTGTGGAAATTTAAAGCCAGTTTCCAGAGTCCAGAAGTAGTCACGTTGCTTCAGTGGTTCTTAAACTTTGCTGCACATTGGAAAAACTTGAGGATCTTTAAAAAATACTGTTACCTGGGTCCCACTCCCAGGCTTTATGTTTTAGTTGGTACAGGATGTGGCCTGGGCATCAAACTTTTTAAAAGCTCCTCAGGTGAATCTAATGTGTAGCAATGTTGGGAATCACTGAGTCGATTAATGCTGTCAAATTCGCCTTGTGAAACTTCACGTGAGAGGATACACACTTTTGGTGAGGTTGGGTGGATCATCCAAATTCCATGGGACCTACCACCTCCACCCAAGTCGCCTAGTAATGATTTCCAGGCATCCATTGTAACGTGACCTGTTTTCCCTAAAAACACTCTTTAAACATGTCTCACGTCACTACTGAATTATTCTGCTGGTAGCAAAAGAATTTTGCTGTGAATTCCTTTGTAAAGCTCATCCTAAATAGTGGGTTCCTTTAGTAAACTTTAAATACAATTCAAAATCTTTGATTTATATGCAACTATTCAGGAACACGTATTGTCGAATAAAAGTATATTACATGTGTTTAAGAATCTATGTAGTTGAAGACGTTTGCTGTAATTATATAATAGGTAAAAATTTAGGAAGCAGATCCCCCATCTCAACATCGAGAGCTTACATACCATATTGATTAATCGCGGTCACCACTCTCTAGGCCAAGCCTCTGGAGGTGCCCTATTCTTCTTTTAACACTTGTATCCTTGTGACTTCTTTGAATTCAGTCAGGGAATATTAGAATTAAAAGGGACTCAAGGTCATTATCCGTTCTCCTCATTATATAGATGAAGACACTAAGTGTAAAGGAGATGAAGTGACTCTTCTAAGGCCATGCGGCCAAAAGTAACAATGACCACATAACATTTATTGAGTCCTTATCCATCAGGCTCTACGCTAAGTGCTTTAAATGGATTATCTCCTTTTGTCGTTTAATCCTAAAAAACTCTATCAGTTGGGCATTGTAATTATCCCCATTTTATAGATGAGGAAACTAAGGCTCAAGGAAGTTGAGCAATGGCTCTGTGGTCCCACAGTTAGTTCCAGCAGTTGGTCTCCAGAGCCTGTTCTGTTAGGCAGTGTGCTGGGCTGCCTCTTCAATCAGAGGCAGGATTAGAGCTAGAACCCAGGTTTTTTGATTCCCTGTTACTTTTTGGTTATGTACTATTATTTTCTATGATCTACTAGTCTTGTTATTCTCTTATAAAAGAAATTAGATTAATTTTAAAAATGACTTTTTCTGTTTAGTATTGTCATTTAATGAACTGTTCTAACCTCTAAAATTACATTAAAATACAATTATGTTTGTCAGTGAGTTATAATGCAGCTATGTGTTATATTCCTAAGTAATAGTAAAATTTCCTTATGAGGCTGCTTTTGCTTCATGTAAAAGATACTTCATTTGTTGGGGGCTTAGATAAAATTTGAGACTGCATGTGTATTTAAAAAACTAATATAGATTATTTTCTAAAATTAGTTTGGGATAATTATATATATATACTTTTTTGGTCATTTTAAATTTCTAGTTCTCCATCAAGAAACTGATGTTTTATTTTTTAAATAACATAAGATATAAAATATTAGGTGATTTAAAATGAAGGAAAAGATCCTTAAGTACAATGTAAGTATATTTTAGGAACAATGTCTTATCTAAATTTACTTTTTCCCCTTAATTTTGATTTTAAATCTCTTATTAAGTTCAGAGGTTAACCCAAATAGTTACTTTAGTTTAATTTTTTTATTAATGAGGAGAATCATGAAGAGTTTTAAATGTACATTGTTACGTCTTTTAGATATTGTTTGCCATTTCTGAAGCTAAAGAGAAATGGAAAAGCGAGCTTGAAAATATGAAGAAAAATGTAATCCCTGGAAAGGAATTGGAAGAGAAGATTCATTCTCTTCAGAGAGAGCTGGAGTTAAAGAACGAGGAAGTCCCTGTGGTTGTCAGGGCTGAGTTGGCTAAGGCCCGGAGTGAGTGGAACAAAGAAAAGCAAGAAGAAATCCACAGAATTCAAGAACAAAATGAGCAAGATTACCGGCAATTTTTAGATGATCATCGAAATAAAATTAATGAGGTGCTTGCGGCAGCTAAAGAAGACTTTGTGAAACAAAAAACTGAGCTCCTTCTTCAGAAGGAGACAGAACTACAAACATGTCTAGACCAGACTCGTAGAGAGTGGACTATGCAGGAAGCCAGGCGGATCCAACTGGAAATCGCTCAGTATGAGGAGGACATCCTAACTGTACTTGAATTTCTCTTAAAGGATACCCATAAGGAGCATGTCAGTGGGTCAGAGAACAAGCGACTCTTGGAAGTGCTGTCGACTTGTTCTTCAAAATGGGTGTCTGTGCAATATTTTGAGAAAGTGAAGGCCTGCATACAGAAAGCATTTCAAGATATTCTCTCCCTACTTATAGAAAATGCCAACTCAGAATGGGAAAAGGTATGTTCCTGATAAGTGAAATAGAGCTATTATTAAACACCAAGGATGATTGTAGAAGTTGCATATGGCATTTTTGCCTTTCTTCTTCATTTTACAGTTTAATAGATGTAAGATTGTATTTTTACCAGTGGTTTAAAAAACTGTAGCAAATCCAAAGGATTGCATTTTTTTTTGCCAAAAAAACTTTACTTTTTCATGGTGCCAAAAATATGAGGCAGAACTTTTAACCTCTAGACATCTTTTTCCTAAAAAATATATGCTATTCTTTGTAAGGGCCTGAGATTTCAGAAACAGAGTAACTCTCATTCCTATTTTCATTTTTTGGTCATAATCACTTAAGCATAATTGCTTCAAGAAATATGCATCATATTAAACTACGGTTTCTTAAGAGCATCTAAAGAGTTTGGAAGTCTATTTCTTGCCCTCAAGGAATTTATATCTCATGTAGGCAAAAGATGCCAACCAAATACAAAGAATATTGATGTAGAAACAAGCAAATAGAGGTGTGGCTCACACACACAAAACTCTGAAGCCCAGTGTTGTTGGTGTACTATACCTGTGCATGTAGAATGAATTAGTTGTATTCTTTTAGTTGTATAAGTACTCTCTGACGCCAGCTTTCAGTTTGTGTGGGTGATCTATAAAACCAAAGTCTTGCTTACCTTATGATTAAATTAGGTATGCATGAAAAATCCAGAATGATATTCTAGGCATTGCAATCAGCCAGTTTTGACATTTGGAATTAGAGGTAGAAAAAAATGCCAATATTATAAGGTTTGTCTGATAGAAGAATTGAGACGTAAGAGTTAAGTTTCATTGAGATACTATGATTAAAGATTTTCAAGGCCAGGATTGAGTATTTGGCATTAATACCTGTTGTATAAGCTAGGAAAAAAAATCTGAGTTCCAGTTCCACACTCGAGAATAACTAGCTTATTACCTTGAGTAGTCATATATTATAGTTGCTTAGCTGAAAAAGAAAACACAACACCCTGGCCTGTCTAATTCCTTGGATTTTGGTAGGATACGAATGACACAGCTTGGCCTTTCTACATCCTGCATTTGAAACATTACAGAATTTTAGAGCCAAAGGGATCTGAAAGATCAGTCTACCCCATCCCAGTTCACCCCAGTTGATATTTTTATTCTTGATTTCACACAGATGTGACTACTTAATAGTTGCTTTCAATGTAAAAATAACTGGACAAGATCATTTCCCATGATTGTTGCTTGTAATACTTTGTTGAGAATTTTTGGAAAAATAGATAATTAAAATAAGAATTATTATTTATAGCAGTTTTATGGATGAGAAGTGATAGGAAGATCGTGTTATATACTTTCAAGTTTGCTTTCCTGAAAAGGCAATCTCGATTTGCTATAAAAATCAAGAAAATACATCTTTCTCCTACTATTAATATATAATCCACCCTGGGGTCTTTTTATAGGGCATATAATTGTGTAAGCAGTGTAAGGTCATCGGTATGACTTAATGTGGTTCACATGTCTATGAAGACAGAATCACATAATTTGGCTAAGAATTTAGACTTTTGCAGCTTCTGTTGGGTGGGGTCAGATTCCGTTCCTGAGAAAAGCGTGGCTTTGAAATGCCTAATCTGGCATTTGTTGTAGAATACTTGACCTTCTGCCGTTTTAGAGCAAACTTAGCTCAGGACCTTGAGGTAAAGCAACGATTATTATAAAGCAGTGATTATAAGTTGCAGTATAGGTGCCGTAAATGTGAAGAACTATGAATTATAATTGATTAAATTTGTAGTTTTTAGAACTGTTCAGGAAAATTAAAATAGCCAAAAAATGATCCATATATATAAAAGTCCTGATTTTAAAATAACTTAGATGATCAAAAGTTTTTTAAAATGGAGTGGATGCAATGAATTAAAAATGTAGTTTCCAAGAAAATGAATGTTTTATCAAAAGATATTAATACAACAGTTTATAAAGGATAAAAGAAAACAGAAATATCAATTGGAACAAAATTGTCAAACAAATTTAAGGAGGTATGTTCTGTCTTTTCTGACCACCAAAGTCAAGTTAAAACTAAGACAAAATGGTGGCTGCTCCCGCCTTTTTTGTCATCTTGGCTTTTCTCCAGATTTGAGTAGAAACTGGACACATTAGGGTTCAGCTCTTATTCTTTTGGCCTCAACCTCATATCCTCTTGATGGCCTAGAGTTCGCATTTTCTCTGTAACTGCTGACCTCTGCTTCTGTTGAACATTGTAGGTACATTTCCTGACAGTCAGTTAAATGAGTTTCTCATCATCAAAATCAAGCCTTCTGGAATCAAGCACACGTAAAGTGTTTTAAGTAATTAAACAAAGCAGCTTTCTCAGCATCACCTGTTCTGGTCCCTTGGAATTTAGTAGTTGTCCAAAATCTAAAAATATTGCCTTAAAAGAATGTCTCACCATTAATGAATTTAGTAGCTGTATTACTGGAACAGGGACTACAACACAGAAAGTGTTCAGTAAATGTTAGTGAAGAAATGGTCTTGTGAAAGGTGTTTAAACTTAGGTGAGCCTCGGTTTCTCTCTTTAACATTGAAATTCAACTGGCCTTCCTTACAAAGTGACAGTATATATTAAAGTATTTAGAAACATAACATGCTATATAAATTAAATTTTTTTTTTTTACTGTTGTTACTTTCAATTCATGGACGGCAAAAAGTTGGTATTATAGTTTCTAATGAATTTGACCCCTGAATGAAAATGTTCTGGATTTTCCAGAATAATTCTGATTTCACATAATCTATCCTGTGGTTTGATCACATAAACCATTAAAATATGTTAAATTGGTGTGTGTGTGTGCACGCGTGCACGTGCAAACTATATCTTCTGTCTACCTCATAGCTGGCCCACCAGTCCTCTGTCAGATAATATTGTAATTTGGAAAATATGGTCATAGGAGATTAGTTCTTAATAATGATAGTATTCATGGAACACCCTAAGAAAAATATTGGTGGTAGTTTAGGCAAGATTTTTTTCAGGCAATGTTTTCTTTTTATATTTTTAATATTAGCATTTTAAATAGAGAACTGTGTAGCAATTTTAATTAGGCATTAACTATGAAGATAACCTATTTCAGAGAAATATGGCCAAGGTGTCTAAGGATCCTGCTACAGGAGTCACTGGCAGAGGAGACCCTGGAGTCCCTGCAGCCCTTCCTGCAACCACTTCCAGACACCACACTCAGCCCTTGTTCTTGCAAGAGACAGAAGCAGAAGCTGGTAATGGGATTTTATTCCTACTGGTCTTTGTAACACCCACTGTAACATCCATCACAGTTCCAGGGGGTTGCTATGAGGATAAAAGGAAATAACAATTGTGTGCAGTTTTTATAAGTGAACAAATGTGTAATATTACTCCTGCTTGTGTGTCGTCTGCCTGGATTTCCTTGTGCATTTAGAAGACAGGTTGCTTTAGGCCCTCTTCCTTCTGTCTTTTCATGGTCTTCCCTCCATTCATAAGTGGTTCTTATAAGAAGGATAATGAGAATTTTATAGAGCACTCATGTTTTTATTCCCTGGCTTTATTGAGAAATCAAGGGTTTCACACAAGAGAATTGCCAAATAACTGAGACCTTTTCATTCAAATTACCGAAGCTGATTTCACCGGTTTTTTAATGGAAATCTTTCTGAAGAGCGTTTGGTGTTTTCTGATTTATTTGTGAGTTTCTTGAGGTCAGGGGCAGTGTTTTTATCTCTTCCTCTCCAACTCATGGCAGAGGGAATGGCACGTAGTTTGTGTTTCTTGAATATCTGATGGATTAATAGTTTAACTTAATGACTTAGAGTTGTCATTATGAAAAGTAATGATTGTACTGTACTACAGCCCCTTGCGGTACTCAGAGCTCACTGAGAAATATCGGGCTTATGTTGCCTATTCACTGAGATTTCTGACTAGGAATTGGCATATCCTTTATTACTTCCAATCCTTTTTTTAGGATATTGACCCCTTGCAGTCTGCTTCTCTCCACATACAAGCACATACACACCACACACACACTCTTTCTGTTTCTTAGCTGCTGTCTCCATTGTAAGCTGGAAAAGAACTAAGAATTGCCAGAGCAAATCAGATGTTATAAGTCAGTAACCTTAGTTTCCACACATTTCTAATTCAGTAGGCAGTATTACCAGAATCCTAGAGAACCTCTGCCTTTCCTAAGAAGTCAGTTGACAGTTATTTTTCTCATCATCTGTAGACCCTTTTCCCTTATTTCTAGGTACTAGATGGTTGAGAATATCTTTTTTTTTTTTTTTTGTGAGGAAAATCAGCCCTGAGCTAACATCTGTGCTAATCCTCCTCTTTTTTTGCTGAGGAAAACTGGCTCTGAGCTAACATCTATTGCCAATCCTCCTCCTTTTTTTCCCCAAAGCCCCAGTAGATAGTTGTATGTCATAGTTGCACATCCTTCTAGTTGCTGTATGTGGGACGCGGCCTCAGCATGGCCGGAGAAGCGGTGCGTCGGTGCGTGCCCGGATCCAAACCCCGGCCGCCAGTAGTGGAGCGCACGCACTTAACTGCTAAGCTACAGGGCCGGCCCCGGTTGAGAATATCTTATTGCCAATTAGGTACATGGTATTACTACCTTAATTTGTATTTTGCTTCTTACTTTTCAGTGTCATTTTATGTCTCTTGTTATATTTGGAATAACCTGAGAATTATTTTTTAATTTGTGAAATGGGTAGAAACAAGTTTTAGATATTATTTGGCTTTGGCAAGTTCTAGCAATATGAAAGAAATTAGTTTTGACTTAAGAAAAATCAGACTATAAAAGGATTTATTTTTCTTTCTTCAATCTTTTTTCCCTAAAAACAAACACATTAACAAATTCATTAGACAGGATTAAATAATTCAAAACATATATTAAGTAATAAAAGTCTTTTACAATCCTACCACCAGAGCATACCACTGTTAACTGTTTGGTTGTATTCTCCTGATATCTTATCATTTTTTAAAGTAATTTAAGCATTAATTATGAAATACTTGATACATGCAAAGAATATATATATGCACATGTAAGTAATGAAGCCTAACAACCAGGAACCCACTATTTTACTTAAGAAGTGGAACATCACCAATATTGTTGAAGACTCATGTGTGTTTCACCACAATTCCATCCCTGTTACTTCCCCACAATCCGAGGTAACAAATGTTCTATTTAAAAATTATTCTCTTGTTTTGACCAAATATATATATCCTCAAAAAGCTGGTGCTTTATTTTGTCTTCTAATATTATAAAAATGATTTAATACTCATTATAGTCTTTGTAACTTGCATTTTTATACTTAATATCAAACTTCTAAGATTTGTCTGTATTAATGCGTATAACTCTAATTCATTCCTTTTTCATTGCAGTATAGTATTCCATCATATGAATATACTATAATTTATCTATTCTCTTGTCAGTGGGCATTTGCCTGGTTTCCAGTTTTACAACAGTATCTTAAATGAAAAATACAAATGCCGTGTATGGTACCAAGTGATGCTTCATTAATCCTTTGATGCTCATGAACATAAATGGTGCCATTTAAATGAAACTAAAAAGTCAGGAGAAAGCTAAGAATAATTTTGCTGGACCAATGATTTTACATCAACATTTTAGATACTGGCCTCTGAGCCTGTGCCAGTTTATATTCCTACTTAATTATATCAGTTATATTAATAGTAATAATTTACTTTTTGTATCATTTTTATATAGTATTTAAATTTTATAAATTCTATATATTACTAGTAGCAATAGCTATTATTTATTGTGTACTTGTTCTATGCCAGGTACTGTGCCAAACAATTTTTATACATTTATACCTCCTGACAGTTTTAAATCTTTTTTCATTTGGAGATAATTTCAAACTTACAGAAAAGTTGCAAAAATAAAATAGTTGCAAAGAACACTTATATACCCTTTACCTGCCTATACCTATTGATAACATTTTACCTTATTTTGTGCTCTTCTCTGTGTATGTATATGTGAACATTTCAATTTTTCCTGAACCATTTGAGGATGTTATATACATTATGCCCTTTTACCCCTAAATACTTCAGTGTGTATTTTCCAAAAATAGGAATTTTTCTTGTATAACCTTAGTACAGCAAATTGCACATTAGATGAAAATATTGTATCAATCTACTGTTTGTATTCTCATTTTTTTCAATTGACCCAATAATGTCTTTTATAGCATTTTTTTCCTCTGCAGAAAAGGAATCTGTCTGGGGTCAGGTATTACGTTTACTTGTTATGTCTCTTTGCTCTCCTTTTTTTTTTTTGGTGAGGAAGATTCGCCCTGTGCTAACATCTGTGCCCATCTGCCTCTATTTTGTATGTGGGACGCTGCCACAGCATGGCTGATGAGTGGTGTATAGGTCTGTGCCCAGGATCCGAACCTGCGAACCCCAGACTGCCAATGCAGAGCACACAAACTTAACCGCTACACCACTGGGCCACCTCCCCTCTTTGCTCTCCTTTAATCTAGGATATTTCCACAGCCTCTCTTTGCCATTTATGGCACTGACGTTTTTGAGAGATGTATTGTCTGCTTTCCCAACACTCCCTTTCCCTCAGCTTTTCCTAGAACTGTGCTCATTTTGAGTTTGTTTCTTCATGATTAGACTCAGGTTGTGTTTTCTTTGCTGGAACACCGCATAGGTGGCGTGTTATCACATCTGGAGGTGTACAATGTCCATTTGTCTATTGTTGGAGAGGTTTGTTTGAGCACCTGGTCAAAGCGTTGTCCAGTTTCTTCCCTGTATAATTGCTGGGTTTTTCCCCCTTTGAAACTAATAAGCAATCTGCGGGGAGACACCTTTAAGACCATGAACATATCCTTCTCTTCATTAAAATTTTCCCTGTGTTTATCAATCATTGACGATGCTTGTCTGATCCAGTCTTTACTATGGTGGTTGCAAAAGTATAATTTTTCCATCTTCAGACCTCCCTCCACTTTTACCACTTGGCACTTGTCATGTTCTTATAATCAAGAATCCTCCCCTCTAGTTTGTCTGTGTAGTTATTTATTTGTCTATCTGTTTATTTATGTGTTTATCTATCTGTCCGTCTACGTACCCACCTACCTATCAACTTACCCGCCTATCCATCCATCCATCTCATTATCAGTAGGATTATTGTTATGACTCATGGATTTCTATTCTTTTCCAATACTTTTTAATTCACTACTATATTTAATTAGTGTTCAAATTGTCCCAGATTCAGCTAGTGGAGTCCCTTCAAACTGGCTCCTGTGTCCTTGTGATATGCCTGTAATTTTGAGTAATTAGTTACTTTCTGGCATAGCAAAATATTCTAGTCTCATCTTGTATACACCATGTCTTAACACTGGAGTCAGCCATTTCTTGAAGATCCTTGTTTCCTTATAGTGGGAAATGATATTCAATACTAAGATCTGAGCATTATGTTTCATAGCAATTTTTAAAATAGATGGTATTATTCAATTTTATGTATTAAAAAACTAAGTTTCAGAGAGGTTAAGTAATACACTCTGAGTCACACAGCCGATAAATAATGGAAACAGGACTTAAACCCAAGTTTCTCTCTCTCAAGCATCATTCTCCTTTAAGTTACACTGTAGCCTTTAGTCACATCATCTGGTTTCCTTCCTCTCTTCCTTCCTTCCTTTCTTTCTTTTTGGTAGTTCTTAGTCTAAATTGATATAAAAGTTTGCTATCATTTAATTTTTGCAGATAAGAAAAAGATCCTTGAAATTAAAGATTCATACTGTGGACACTGCTTCCAAGAACTTGAAAAGACAAAGCAGGAATGTCAAGATCTGAAAAGAAAACTGGAGAAATGCTGTAGGCATCTTCAGCATTTAGAAAGGAAGCACAAAGCTGTAGTGGAAAAAATCGGAGGTTAGCATTTAAAGTAGCACAGCTACCTCTATAAATCCCTTTGATCCTTGTTGAAATGTTCAAGTGTGGCATTTTAATTAACGTAGGCACTGATTCTCTTTGGGGATTAATGTAAACTAATTTGGACCTTATTTTACTTAACCAAATTATTATTACTGAACTCAAAAGAGGAAAATTGGAGCTCTCATTAAAAGGTCACATTCTTTTCTTCCTTTTTTGATTGAGCAGATATTGAGTGCCCAATATGTATCAAGCAGTGTTCTAGGCACTGGGGATATAGCAATGAATACATCAGACAAAATTCCAGTTCTGATGGAGATGTACAAGACTCTGTTCCCTTCCTTCAAGAAGCTTATCATCAAGAGAGGAGAACTAAAAACAGATTAGTAAATAGTTGCAGCATTGAGTGCTACTGGCAGTATGTTCGTGTGAACTTGGGAGAAAGGATGTTAATGAACTCTTCCTCCTGTTAGAGTTGGGGAAGGCTTGACTAAGCCTGGAAAGATGACACTGTTTGCCTAAGAGACCAGCATTCTAGGCAGAGGGAGAAAACGTGAACACAGCACGTTCACATGGGTGTTCTGGGTCTGATCTGGCCTCCTTCCAGTCCATTCTTCCCAGTGCTGTCAGGGAAATTGTCTAAAAGGGACATCCTCTGCTGTTTCATCCTGCTCTTCTGAAGAAGGGAAGCTATTGGGCTTATGAGGGTGCTCCCTCCAACCTTCACTATTCTCTTATATCCCCTGCTCTATACTCCTTACCTTTGAAATATTTCAGATTCCTGAACTGGGCAGGAATTTTCTTTTACTGCTGGGCCTTGCATATGATGTTCCCTCTCATTCTTGCTTTGGTCTAACTCTTCCTCATCCTTTACGATTCAGCTAAGAAGATGCCTTATCTGCAGAGCCCTCCTTGATTTTCCTGTGTGGATTAGGTGGGCGGCTTCTGTGCGGCCCCATAGTACGTGACTCCTCCTCCATTACCATTCTATGTTTAATTTTTTGGTTACTTGTCAATATCCTTTCCAACCTATAAGTTCCCTGAGAATAAGGAGTATGTCTTGTCTTGTTCATCCTTGTAGTCGTGGTGTCCGTTACACACTAGACAATAACAAATGTTTGAATGAATGGAGGACTGAATGCAAGGGTCCCAAAAAATTGCATCGTGCAGAAAAGACCAGGTGCGTAGGTTCACTTGTTTTCTCCATTCACCTCTATCACTTGCCTGGGCAACGGTCACCTCCTGACTCTTTCTGCTTCCAATCTTGCCCCTCCATCCATTCTCGAGCAGGCAGCATGAGTGACCCTTCAAAAGAGTAAATTGAATGATGACACTTTTTATTCAAAGCCCTTCAGTGGCCCTTCATATTTCAGTATGAAATACGAACGCTTAATTGAACATAGTTTAAGAAGCCTTTCATGACCCAGCATCTGCCAGCCCCTCAGCCTCATCTTCCCCCAGCCCTCTTCTTCTTTTATAGAGAATTATTCTCTCATTCCCTTTTCTCTGGACCTCTTTTCATCTCTCCCTTCACCAGGACGTCTTCCTATCCTGATCATGTTGCCTGGCTGACTCCTACTCATCTCCCCCCCTACATTACTTCCTCAGGGGGCTTTCCGAACCACCTCAGACTTGGTTATGTTCTTCTCTTAGACATTCCCCACAGCTCCTGTGATTTTTATAACGTTCATCGTCCTAGCAATTATATTTTGTCTGTATTCTCTTCTGGAGTGTGGACTCGATGGTGACCAGGATCTAGTCCTGTCCCAGCACTTAGCACCATCCCTGGCATCACAGCACCTTCGGTAAATGTTGTTGACTAAGAGAAGCCACCTCCGTGCCCCTGCTGCTTACTAAGTCTGTTAGAGATAGCTAATAATTACTTCAAGGCAAGAAAGGGTTTTAAGAATTTTGAGAGAAAAATTTTAACAACTACAATTCCCATGGTGATTGCTTAGCTCTTTCATCGAGGCCAGGAGAGTAAATGAGAGATTTGTCTAATTGTAGATGTAGATACAATGTAGCTATTGTAAAATTTGAAGAGAATCAAGAAAATTTGTTTTACATAATAAAATGACAAGGGCAGTTGGATATGATTATTATGTATAAATAATATTTAGCACCATACATTGTGATCATGGAATAGTTATTCTATATAGTGCTGTTTGAGGCTGATATCTTCTTTAATTCATAGGCCTAGAAATAATCCAAGAAAGTTGGTCCTGAGCTCAAAACAATGGGCTGATAAAAGGGGTCAGGGTCAGAAGTTAAGTCATTTGATAGTTTGATTTCAATGTTTGTCTTCATGTGAATCTAAAAACATTAGTTGATAATACTTTTGCTATTGGGGTTGCTTCTTTTTCGTTTCTTAAATTCCATTTTCTATTGTCTTGGAGCATTTATTGAAAAGTGATAGAGTAAGAATGAGTGGTTTAAAATATACAAGTTATATCAATTACTAGGGGGAATTGATTGATTCATTCCCTAACTTATTGGGTGTGTTGAGAGGGTGACAAAGCAGGAAACATGGGGTGCCATGTTCATATTTATTAAATATTGGTATTGCCAAGTCTTGTATAAGGTGCTGTGCCTTTATTTTATTTCTATTATAATCTTCAAGGTAGGTAACACTCTCCCCATTTTACATACGAAAAACTCAGGTTCAGAAAGGTTAAGTAATTTGCCTAAACCATCCAGCTGGTAAGAAGCAGAGCTAGGATTTAAACCTACATCTCTCTGACTCTGAGATTCATGTTTTGTCCTCTGTACCACATGGACTCCATCAGTCTCCTCATCCTCATTTTAAAGTTCAAAGAATTGAAAATCTTATATTAAATCTGAAAATGACAACTACTTAAACTTAATTTTCTTTGTATCTTGTACTGACATGCTTGTTCAATGATCATTTATATGAGCATAGACTGTACACCAGGATCCACAAGGAGCATGGAATTAGAAAACCTAGTATGTTTCTACAGAACTTCAGTCTAACGGGAAAACAAAACACATACATATGGAACTATTCCAGGACAGTGTGTAAGCCACAAGAAGAAGAAGATGGAGCACAGATTTTAAGTGCTGAGCAAACAGGACAGGGAGTGGTCGGATTAGACCATCAGGGAATAAAGGGTAGAGGCAGCAACTGGACATTTCAGTCTCCTCTAAACGTTTGCACTGGGAACTTAAAGGGCAGGAAGACTCAGAAAGAAAAAAGACATTGACCAGTATACTATAAACTTTCCTTTTTAGGAGATGATAGTGGAGCTGTTGAAGAATTAATAGAAGGAAACAATGACAGGAAGAATAAACTGGAAGAGCTGGGAACACTTTGTAAAACACCCCCAAGGTAGACGTTTCCTATTTAAAAAAATTGTTCTTTGCATCTTTACATTTTTTTATATTGATTACATCAATAATAGCATACCAAGAATATCAATGGTTGTTATTGTTATACAGCAAGAGATATAAAAGAGAAGAAAATCTTCTAAAACCTTATCCCCAGAAGATACCCTCTGTTAACCTCTTGTTTCATATCATTTAAGCCCTTTTATACACACACGACACACGCACATGTTTTAAAAATTGAGATTATTGTATATTTTGTAACCTTTTGTTAACTTAATATTATAAGATAACATTTCCCCTTGTCATTAGATATTCTCCTATAATGTGCTTTTCAGTAGCTGCATAGATTTTCATCACGTGGATTTATCATGATTTATTTAAGTAACCATAACATTTAAATTGTTTCCATTTTTCTCCCATTTTAAATAACTGTATAGTAAAGATCTTCATATATGAATTTTTTAGTACATCTCAGTTTATTTTATTGGAATATATAGATATATATTTTTTTCAAATGAAGTTTTTCACTTACAATCTGTTTTTGCAATCTTTGGTTTGTTTTTAGGTCGTTGTCAGAAGGGGCCATTGAAAATGCTTGCCTGCCATGCAATAGGTTGGCCTTGGAAGAACTTCGTGGGCAGTATATTAAAGCTGTAAAAAAAATTAAGCGTAAGTCCCTAAAGAGAATCTTAAGATTTTAAGGTGGTTTGAGTATTTTTTGTTACTAGCAGTAGTAATTTGTGGGAATTTTCCAAACTACCTTGTTCTGGGATCTTACCTGCTTTTAGAAGAGATCATTGATACCTTTTCTAAATTAGGCAGTAATGGATCATTTTGCCCAAGTAATATCTTTTGGAAGTGACGTGAGGATAAAGTTAGTTTTATACTCTTAATTATCCTGTTTCTTTTTTGGACACTAACATTAAACTAAAAATTTTATAATCTTACAACTTAACTAATGCCAAAGAGAATGTCATATCAATTATTGCTTCCTACCATAAACTTTTAAGGACTATGGAAAATGGATCTAGTTAGGAGTAGTTGTGTTATTTCTCATTATTTTGTTAATAGATTAGTCACAGATGTAAATTTATCAAGTCCTTTGCAGTACGTGGGGTGCAGCACACCCTGCAGGGCATCTCTCTGGTTTATGCTTTCCTGGTAGAATACCTCCTGGTTTTTAATTACAGTGTTGCATAGATTGTATGTGTGTCCCAGAACAATAACCAGTGTTTATACAGGAGAAATGTGTGTTTGCCTCCTAAAATTGCATTCATTTTTAACAAAATGAGTAGGAAAGGTCTCAACTTCCGAATGTAATTGGTAGATCATCAGAATCATGTGTAGATGGTTTCAAAAGCCCACTCAGTATCAGTGAAGAGAATTCACTCCTCAGTTGTTGCTGGTGCTGGCAGAGGCCATATTATTACAAACAAAGCAACTTTTTGTTAACAATCCTTAACCGGGAATTTTAAGCATTTTTTTTTTTTTAATTCTATTATGATAACTTTTGTGTGTTTATGTGGGTGTGTTGTTTTACCTTTTAGAAGTTGGTTGGAACTTTCATATTTTGTTTTTGTTTTTGTTTTTTTTGTGAGGAAGATCAGCCCTGAGCTAACATCCATGCCAATCCTCCTCTTTTTGCTGAGGAAGACTGGCCCTGGGCTAACATCCGTGCCCATCTTCCTCCACTTTATGTGGGACGCTGCCGCAGCATGGCCTGACAAGCGGTGCATCGGTGCGTGCCCGGGATCCGAACCCAGGCCGCCAGCAGCGGAGCGCGCGCACTTACCCGCTACGCCACGGGGCCGGCCCCGGAGCTTTCGTGTTGACATGTACTCCATTTTAATTTTTTCCACTTCAAATAATGAAAATAGTCTTCCAGTCAGTATTTTGGCATAGAACATCTAATTTTCAGGAAGAGCTTACTGATATTGAGGGAGATTCCTCTATGAGTTGGATCCTTAGTATAACAGGGATGGTGATATTGTAAAGGAAGGATGTAGCCCTGGAATTAGTAAAAAATGTTAACCTAAAATAATGGTAGTCCCAATCAAAGCATGTGGAGTTAAAGATAAAAAGACAACTTGAAAGTCGTGAACTATTTTTAAATGTAAATTCAGACAGTAACATAAGTCTCATCCCTCTCCCTGCGATAGCATTTTGTACAATCTCTCACAGATTGTGATATTATATTTGGTTGGATACTCATAAGTGCTGCTGAAAGAATTGAATAAATAGTGAAACATGGATTTTCAGAGCAAAAGAAAACAGAGGAATCTGAGTCTCTTCAGCTCCTGTTGCCTCATTCTGTCTTTCGTGTCTGCTTCCCTCTTCCTCTCTGCCTCACGCTTTCTATATATTTCTTTCTTCTCTTCCCTTCACCAGACGTAATATATAATTGAAATGCATAAGCTTCTGTGCCTCATATTTATGGTGTTTTCTTGCCTCAGTGTTTCAGAATATGACAGAATTTCCCTAGGGAGTATGCTATGTTTCCCTACCATATGTGGCTGTCATCATTCTAAAAGGAACTTTTAGATTATTTGTCCTTTGAGTCTACCAAAACGATGATCTGAAATACTCCATTTGAATGATTGTGGAAAATATAATGCTTAAACTGTACCTCCAGTCACTTCATTTCCCAGAAAACTGGTCTGAAGTCTGCCTCTCCTGGTTTTGAACAACTGCTAATAAACATGCATTTTGTGGGAATTTCCCCCCCGCCCCAGGTGATATGCTTCGTTATATTCAGGAGAGTAAGGAAAGAGCTGCGGAAATGGTAAAAGCAGAGGTACTGCGAGAACGTCAAGAAACCGCCCGAAAGATGCGCAAATATTATTTGACTTGCCTCCAACAGATTTTGCAGGATAATGGAAAACAGGAAGGGTAAGTTCAGTCTAAACAAACAATGTGTCCTGAGAGGACTGGACAGCGTGTTGTCATTTTCTAAGCATTTTCCTTAACCACAAAATTAACTATTTCTATATGATCAGCCATTGGGTGTTAGGAGAGGCTCATGTCTGTGCTACCCTAAATGTTGGCAGAGCTAATAGGAAAACAGAAATCCTGGGGCTAAGGAAACTCATTTTTTCCTTTAAACTATATTAATTTAATATTCTGGAATTCCCCACAGGGCTGAGAAAAAGATTATGAATGCTGCTAGCAAACTTGCTACAATGGCAAAATTGCTGGAAACGCCTATTTCTAATAGATCCCAGAGCAAAACTACACAGTCAGGTATGTCAAAATGAATCACTTGAAGGGTTTTTCTCTCCATTCTTTTTTAGCTATTTAATATTTTCAGTATGAAAAAAAGCAGGAATGTAAGGAGTGAGAGTTTCATTTATAAAGTTGTATGTGTGTTTTACTTAAATTGGAAACTTGCAAAAAAGAGTGTAGTTTCCAGTTCAAGTAGGCAGACTGAGCATACCCATTAGCTTTCTATTGCTGCTTCCATCCCTTGAAATGATGGAAAAGATTTTAAACAACAAATAAAGAAGGCGAAAAAGAAGAAATTATAACTGGGCTTTAAAAAGTTTCAAATGATAGACCAGAAGCTATGAGAAATCCCTGAAAGAAAGAAAAACAGTATAAGATTGAAGATGGAAACTTCAGTTCAAAACTGCCAGAAGATGACAGCTACAAGTAGGAGCAATGTGGAAACTGGTCCACTCATGAATGTGGCATGTCCCAGAAGTAATAAGCCCAGGGGATAGCAATGGGGTAATTAGTTGCTGTTCTAGAGCAACAGTAACGAGGCAGAGTCACCCTCTTTATTTCTGTTTCTCCTCTCCCTTCCCCAGCCCCAATATTGGGCAACGTAAGAGCAACAGGAACAGAGAGTCTGGGGACAGGACAGTGCTCTAGATGGCTAGCCACAGCGAGGGGGAACTGAGAGCCCACATGCCCAGAGTACCAGCTATTACCCTGCAGCTTATTCCTTCCCACTCCACTCCCAACTCCTTTCAACAAGCAGTGCAAACAGATACTGTACTCAGGACATCTCAAAGATAAGCATTCAACCAAGAATCGCCATATATTTATAGAAAGCCAGCACCATGATAAAAGACACCAAACTCAAAACAAGGCAAAAATAAAAACCAGCAGAACTTATACCTAAGGAAATAGAATTAATAGAACAAACAATAGGACCTGAGAATGTTAGAAAAGTATAGTATTCTCAGAAAGATGTAAGAGGATATTGTAGAGGAAACTAACAATATGCTAAGATTTTTACTGTTTTCAAGGAGGGGATATAGATACTGATAACTCCACCATTGCTAGAAAAATACAGGTTTCAGTATGTGTATTAAAATTTAAGGATAACCAGTAGAGAAATAGAATGTATAATTTTCAAACTAGTAGGCGAAAGACTTGGAAGAAAACGTTTTTAATCTAACAGAATCAAGAAAGAGGGAAAATACAACTGGAAAGAATGGGTAACTAGAAAATAATAGTAGGTTGAAACATCAACAATCACACTAAATGTAAACAGTTTAAACTCGCTTATTAAAAAAACCACAACTTTAAGTTTTTAAAAATCCAGGCATATGTTATTTTTACAAGAACATCATCTAAAATTCAAAATAAAGGGATGGAGGGTGATATACCAAGCAATGCAGTGTTGATGTTAGATAAATTATAGAGTTAAATACAATATTAGGTAAATTAGACTTAGCATTAAAAGGGACCAAAGTGATAGTTCATAATGATCAAGGATGTTACAGCCTCCCAAGAAGCTGTGAATGGGTTCTTTATATACATAATAAAATAGCTTTAGAATATATAAAGCAAAAGCTGATGGAAAAACACGAAAAAATTGGTAGATTTCCAGTTATACTGGGGGATTTTGAACATATCTGTGGGGAAATGGGGATTTTGAACATATCTGTGGGGAAATGTGGTTTTTGAACTTATGGAAAGCTTGAAGCAGAGATTGCTCAGGAATCTACAAGTCTGATGTTGGTAAACATTCCTCAAATAGAAGCGCAAAGGCGAACCTTGGATATAAAAGCACAGTGGCATATAACAAGAAAAGAATTTTCTAGATTTGGGGCAACAGTGTGCAAATAATGTCCCCAGGAGAAGCAAACCCTTTTCATGGACTCTAGGGACCGAGGTACACAACTCTGAGATATGATGCCTCTGATTCTACATTATGTGGCTGCTTTGCCTCTGATCAGATTTAGTGTCTTAGCTAGTTAAATCAGAAGTCTGTTTTAGCTTTTACAGAGTCTGTGTGTGTGAGTGTGTGTGTGTGTGTGTGTGTGTGTGTGTGTCTCTGTGTGTGTGTAGGTGTTGGGGTTCTTCCAGCAAACTTCATTCATCAGAAATTCCATTCTTGGCATCAGATTATGATCGGAAACATTGCAGTTGGCTCTTGAAATGCTGTAACATCTATTAAAGAAAATAATAGTTCAGGTGGATAGCAATAATAATATATCAGATTTCAGTAACAATTACCTAGCTTTATCTAATGGATATATGTAAAAGAATATTTTAAAATGTCCAGCACCGATGTATTTTCTTTGAGAACGATTAAAATATATATGCATTCTTTGGAAATACATAAAAACAAATTTTTTTCTCCTCTTTCAATGTTCATTTTCTCCTAATTTTATTTTCCCCTAATTTTGTGTTTCCTTGTATACAATAGAACTGCCTCTGACTTCAGAGATGCTGATTGGAGTTGAAAAATCAAAAAGAAATGATGTGACTCAGAATTTACCATGTCACATTGAAAGCAAATCAAACAGTGTACACACCAGCCCCAGAAATATGTGCGACCAAGTTCCCAAGAGGAGGGCTGCTTGTAACTTACAAAGGCGGTTAGAGGACGCAGAGCACCAGGATGTAAAGCATGTGGGTTCCAAAGGGTCACATTCAGACTTGCAGTCCGGGGATAACAGTTACAAACACCTAGACATTTTGCCAAGGAATGTTTCTCCTGAGTTTGTTCCTTGCGAAGGTGAAAGAGGCTTCGGTTTGCACAAGAAGACAGACCTCCTCAGTGATACCGGCTCTGACTCACTTCAGCATTCAGCCACATACTCCTTTCTTGGATCCTTCGGAAATAAACCCTTACCTAGATATACCCCTAGTCTTTCTGAGTCCGGATCCACACGTATAAACTTTCGAGGTCCTAATGAAAGACTTGGTTTAAAAGTGTATAAGTGTAACCCACTAATGGAAAGTGAAAATGCTGCATCTGAGAAAAGTCAAAGTTTGGGTGTTCAGGAAGCTCCAGTAAAGGATGGAGGGGATCTTAGTGACTCTGTAGGCTGGCATTCCAGCAGTACCGCTTTACCCTGCAACAGCCAGGAAGTGTCATTTTCACATGGGAGGCCACAAGAAACCCTGGATACACTGGCTGAATCTGTTAATTTCAAACAGTTTTCAGCAGCCAGTTGTCTTTCAGATACGGAGAAAAAGAACATGATTTGTCGACCGATGAAATGTCAGAGTGGTCACACTCCAGATCTGTCAGAAGAAACCACATATTCCCAGCCGAGGAAGATCGGTATGACTCTTGGACACCCACCTCACCATAAGGCTGATATAGCAAAGTCAGAATTCAAAAAACTGAGCAGTACAGTACCATCTTCAGTGTGTCGGCACCCTGTGAAAAAATTAATCCCTCCTCTATCTAGCCAACAAGATAGTGGCTTTGATAGCCCATTTGTCAATCTAGACTAATTTTTGTATAGTATTTAAGGAGAATCATTAATATATTGAGAAGAAAACTGGAAGAGAAGACTTCATACTGAAAAATTTGTGGGCTTTGCCTATTTTGAGATGTTTTAATAACATCTGACTATCATGAGTAAAGTACTCTCATAAAATAACTTGAGATATTAATGTTGCCTTAATCTTCCAAAGGCCTGATGATGTATGTGTAAGCTGCTTCTGTGTGGTGCTTATATTTGGTTGCTAAACCATCTATTTTTATACTTATAAACTAGCTCTTTGTGCAGTGTTAAATTATTTAAATAAACTTGCGTATGGTCTGTAGAATTGTTATACATTATTTTATAGTTCATAATATAGAAATGTTATATTGACATGTTGGAAGTTCATCCAGAAAAAAATATAAACTTTGATGATTTGTACGTATGATCAGCCAAATTTAATTTTTGAAATTAGCCATGTTTAATGAGGCTATAGATTTACTCTAGACATATTTTTCCTGGAAATATCTACTGAAAATTTTGAATCTTTCAATTAGGAAAAGAGGTTTTTACAGGGATTGCCACAAAATACATAGCTGTATCCTGGTTTCATTATTTAAATTTTTTTTTAGTTGACATATGCGTTATTTCAAATCTCCTGTGACATCTAGAGACTTTGTCTCTTTTATGGTTTCACAGTCTTTCTTTCATCTGAAATATGTTTTTTAATGGAAATAATAAGCTTTGTCATATAGCAAAAAATTTTGAACTATTACACTTTTATATTCATTTATAGTGCAGAATTGGCTAACATTAATGCTGTGGGTTGAAGGTTGTAATTCTAAACTATGCAGAAATGAATGACCATCTAACCATACTGTTGTTTCTAGATGAACTTTTTTTCAGATTCCTGGAGATGGATATGAAAGTTTTAGGTGTATGCAAGTGCTTCGAGAAAATACTTACTATAGCTTTCTCTCATATCTACCACGCTTAATCATATTATAGACTGTATTTGTGGGTTGATCCAGTATATTTTTCCACCAGGCTAACTTGGGTGGTGGTTGGATGGATGGCAAGATGCATCATCCTCCTGCTGATAACCATCTCTAAAAGCAAGAATCTAGAAGTGAACCTTCTAGGGCTTGGAAAGCTTTGTCACCTGAACGGGTGACCAGATATAGATAAGCCTGAAAATTAGCACTGGATTTCAGTGCTCTAGTAGACATGCAGCTGGAGAAAGGAACACATCATCTCTTCTTACTTCTGTTCTTGAAGACAGAGTGCCCCTTCTCCAACAGTTAGGGTGACATTTCTCACTCTAGGAAAACCCTAAACCAGCTGAATTTATGTTCCATGTGCATCTAGTTGGCACTTCATCGTTTTAAGCCCTGGATATAACTGAACTGAGAATCTAGCTCATTGCTCACCTGCTTTTTCATCTTTGTTTTAAATCCTTGCTGGATATTTAAACCCTCTGCATCAAGGTTGAAATTGGAAATCTTCTTGCTTTCTGCTTCTTTTATGACCTCCTTATTCTCTTTATTTTTTTTTTGTCTGCTGAGGAGCGTTCACCCTGAGCTAACATCTGTGCCAATCTTTCTCTATTTTGTACATGAGTCGCCATCGTAGCATGGCTGACGAGCAGTGTAGATCTATGCCTGGGATCCAAACCCGTGAACCCAGACTGCCGAAGTGGAGCGCACCAAACAATCAGTGCGCCACAGGGCTGGCCCCCTTATTCTCTTTTAATATCCATAATTTCAATAGGATTAGGATACTTTATTTCATACACCCTACACACAACCACCGAGGAAGGTTTACAATGATTAGTGGGTAAGTGGGACTGCACAGCCAAGCTACCACTGGCGATTTACATGGGTCTGAAGGGTGATGCTAGAACAGAGAGGAGGCAGGAGCCCCGTAGACATCGTGGTCTCATAAATCCCACTTCCTCATGGTGTTTAATCTTTTATATGTTGCTGGGTTTCATTTGCTGATACTGTGTTAAGGATTTTCATGTGCGTGCTCACAAGAGATATTGGTCTCTAGTTTTCTTGTGATATCTTTGTCTTTCTTGCTTTGGTAAAAGGGTAATACTTGTCTCATAGAATGATTGGAAAGTTCCCCTGCCTCTATTTTCTGAAAGAATTTGTGTGGCATTGCTATTATTTCTTCTTTAAATATTGGATAGAATTCACTAGGTGAAGCCATCTAGCCTGGGCTTGTGTGTATGTGTGTGGTCGGAGGGGAAGGGCAGGTTTTTAAGGAATAATTCAATTTATTTTCTTGTTACAGAGCTATTTATATTTTCTATATCTTCCTTAATCAATCTTGGTAGTTTGTAGTTTTTAAGTAATTTGTTCATTTCATCTAAGTCATCTAATTTGCTGACATAAAGTTGGTCATAGTATTCTATAATCCTCTCTTAATTTCAGTAGGGTTGGATATTAATGTCTCCTCTTTCATCCCTGATTTTGGTATTCTGTGTCATCTCTCTTTTTCTCTTAGCTTAGCTAAAGGTTTATTACTTGTGTTGATTTTTTTTTCCCAAAGAACTTTTGGTTTCTTTGATTTTCTCTACTGTTTTTCTGTTTCCTATTTCATTGAATTTTTTCCCATCTGATCTTTGTTTCCTTCCTTCTGCTTGCTTTAGGTTTAATTCTCACTCTTCTTTGTCTATTGTTAAAGTGGAAGCTTAGATTATTGATGTTGAAATCTTTCTTTTCTAAGGTAGGTATTTAGACCTCTGAATTTCCCTTTAAGCACTGTTTAAGCTATACCTCATAAATTTTGATATGTTTTGTTTTTGTTTTCATTTAGCTCAAAATATTTCTAAGTTCCCTGGTGATTTCTTTTTTGACCCATGGGTTATTTAGAAATATGTCACTTCATTTCCAAGTACTGGGGACTTTCCAAATTTCTTCGTTGTTTATTTTTAATTTATTTGTTGTTGGGGAATATACTTTGAATGATTTCAGTTCTTTTAAATTTCTTGAGACTTGTTTTATGGCCTAGCATATGGTTTATCCTGGAGAATGTTTTACACACATCTGAAAAGAATGCATATTCTGCTCTCGTTTGATGGGGTGTTAAAAAATATGTTAAGTTAGTTGATAGTGTTGATCAAGTCTGCTATAGCCTTTTGATTTTCTGCCTATTTGTTCTGTTATTTATTATAAGTGAGACGTAGTTTCTAACTATAGTTTAAATTGTCTCTTTCTCCTTTCAATTCTATCAGTTTTTGCTTCATGTATTTTGGGGCTCTGTTTTTAGGTGTATATAGCTTTATATTTGTTACGTCTTTCTGACGTATTGACCTTTTATCATTGTAAAGTATCTCTCTCTGTCTCTAGTATACTATTTCTTAAAGTCCATTTTGTCTGATATTAACACAGCCACTCCAGCTCTCTTATGATTACTGTTCACATGGCGTATCTTTTCTGTCCTTTTTCTTTGAACCTATTTATGTCTTTTAATTTGAAGTGGGTCTCTGGTAGAGTAGACAGCACATTGTTGGATCTTGCCTTTTTTTTTAATCCAGTCAGATAATCTTTGCTTTTGGATTGGAGTTTTTAGTCCTTAAAATTTAATGAAATTATGGTTGGATTTACCTCTGCCATTTTGCTGTTTGCTCTGTATCTTATGGGTTTTTGTTGTTGTTGTTGTTATTAAGTTGCTCCTTTACTGCCTTCTTTTGTGTTAAACAGATATTTATTAGGGTAAATTATTTTAATTACTCTTGAGTTTTTATTACCTTTTGAGTTATTTTCTAACTGGTTATTCTAGGTGTTACAATAGGCATCTTATTACAGTCTACTTCAGGTTAATATTGACTAAATTCTGGTAGAATATAACAGCTTTCTTCCATTATAGCTTAATTTCCTTCTCCTTCATTAGTGCTATTGATTATCATATATAGTACATCTATATATTATTAGATAATAACAATGCAGTTATAATTATTGCTTTATACAATGTTTTCTAAAGAATTTGAGAAGAAAAGAAGATGTTTTATAGTGTATGTGTGTGTTTTTGTATTCCTTTATATTTACCCACATATTTACCATTTCTGCTGCTTTTCATGTTTTCCCATGGATTCAAGTTACCAAGTCTGTTGTCATTGCCTGTCATCTGAAGGACTTCTTTAGTATTTCTTGTAAGGCAAGTATGCCAGCAACAAATTCTCTCAGTCTTTATTTTAGAATGTATTTCAAATTCATTTTTGAAGGATAGAGTTTGATGGTTTTAGAATTCTTGGTTGGCATTCTTTTTTTCCAGCACTTTGAATATGTCATTCCACTGCCTTATGGCCACCATTGTTTTTTGATGGAAAGTTAGCTGTTAATTGTATTGTTCTCATATTTGTGATGAGTTGCTTTTCCCCTACTGCTCTTAAAATTTTTCTCTTTGGTTTTCAACGGTTTGAGCATGGTGTGTCTGGATGTGCATTTGTTTGTGTTTATCCTACTTAAGTTTGTAGAGCTTCTGGGATTTATAGATTAATATTTTTATCAAATTTAGAAGGGTTTTTTGGCCATTATTCCTTCCATTATTTTTTCTACACCTTTCTCCTTCTGGGGCTCTCATGTAGATTGGTATGCTTGCTGTTGTGCCACAGGTCTTTGAGATTCAGAACATTTCTCTTCAATCTTTATTATCTTGTTTTTCAAATTGGGTAATTTTTAATCATCTATCTTCAAGTTTGCTGATTCCTCTGCCATCTCAATTCTGCTGTAGAGCCTATCTAGGAATTTCATTTCAGTTACTATACTTTTTGACTCTAGAATTTTCATTTGGTTCTTTTTCATGGTTGCTTTTTTTTTTTGAGATTCCCTGTAGAGTCATTGTCATATTTGCCTTTAATTCTTTATTCATTGGTTCCTTTAATTTTTTAAACAAATTTATAATGGCTGCTTTGTAGTCTTTTTTTTTTTTTTATTGTGTTATGAACATTTAACATGAGATTTACTCTCAACAAATTTTAAGTGCACAATACAGTGTTGTTAACTATAGGCACAATGTTGTACAGCAGATCTCTAGAACTTATTCATCTTGCCTAACTAAAACTTTATACCCCTTGAACAGCAACTCCCCATTTTGTCCTCCCCCCAGCCCCTGGCAACCACCATTTTATGTTTCTGTAAGTTTGACTATTTTAGATATCTCATATAAGTAGAATCCTGCAGTATTTGTCCTTCTATGAGACTTTATTTATTAAATTCAACATCCAAGGACACGTAGTTTCTCTGACAATATTTTTTTCTTGAGTATGGGTCAC